ATCGAACTGTGAGAGACTTTCTACTCTTTTCACTAAGTTTAACTTAATACAATCAGGTAAGCCAATCACTGGCTGCACTGGTAAGTCAATAATATTAAATTTTAACACTTTCTTTTCATATTTGTAGTAACAGTCCAATTCAGCCTGTCCTACAGTGTTAATTCTTTCTCCATTATACACAATTAGTACATTTTTAGATCTTTTTAACACACAGCTATTATTTTTTATCTTATTATAAGTTTGTAAGGACAAAGTATTACAGTCTGCCCCAGTATCAATTTTAAAGTTCAACTCCTTTTCACATACCTTTATCTTGACTAACCACTGTTGTTTTATACTGTTATTAGTTATCACACTCGACATATAGAAGTTATTATCACTGTCAGTGCTGTCTTCTTCTTCTACGGCATGTACTTTCTTTCTTTCACTAAGCTTCTTCTTCTCTTCTTCTTGTTTCTTATTAAACCTGCACTGCTTTGCATAGTGGTTATACTTGCTACACACTGCACACCTCCTCCCGAAGGCAGGGCACTTTCTAGCCTCGTGATGTAACCCACACTTGTTACACAACTTGTTTCCTTCAGTTTTGCCTGTTTTTTCACCCCTGTGTCGGCTCCTCTCTGTAGTTTTTCTGAGCACATCCACACTCTCCTTCGCCGTACCAGCTATACCCTGTAATTGTTTTCTTCCAGCTTCTGCGGCCCTACAAATTGTTACAGCACGGTCCAGTTCTAAGCTTTCTTCCCGAAGTAACCTTTCTTTTAAAGCACTATCAGCAATGCCAATAACCAACATTATAGCCACTAGTCTGTCTTCCATTTCACCCAGCTCACACTTTTTTCCTTGGTTCTTCAACCTTGTCACAAAGTGGTCAACTGCCTCACCTTCCTGTTGCCTATAGTTAAGAAATTCATAGGTTTTGAGCACCAAGCTCTTCAGTGGTTCTGTATACGCGTCTAAAGCTGCGAATAAAGCCTGTAGCGACACTTTATCTTGCTCCTTTAGAGTATTGAACACATCCACAACTTCCTCACCACCTGCGTTGAGAAAAATGGCTATTTTGCGGTTTTCACTTATTTTTTCTAAACCTGCTGCTTCTACGTAAATCTCGAAAAGCTGTTTAAACTTTTTCCAATTGGCATCTGTCCCACTAAGTTTTAGACCTTTTGGCGGTCGTAGACCATCTACTGAGTAAACCGGCCACGTTTTTTCATTCGGCATTTTGTTTTACAAAGTATTACAATATTTCACTAAGATTTTATTTTCTCCACAAAGGTTATTATCACAATAGTTATATTTTCACTAAAGTTACTTGTTTTACTTAATTTTACACCTGACACCATGTTATATTTGTAGTATGAAATAAAAGATCTAACGTTTATATGACGACATCTTGTTTTATTATTATGTGTGTAAACTCATTCTCCCTGGTGTTGCCACAGCTCACACCTACATGTATTACATTCATATCGAACATTGACGGGCCTGTTGGTCTAGTGGTTAGTGACCCTGACTGCTAAACCGGAGGTCGTGGGTTCGATTCCTACCCAGGACAAATATTGTGTTATGAGCACGGTCATTTGTTCTGTGTCTGGGTGTAATTTATGTATAATATGTATGTATTTAAAAATATATAAGTATGTTTATCAGCAGTCGGTTACCATAGTACATGCTCTGCCTAGTTTGGGGTCAGGCGGCCGTCTTTGAGATGGAGATATATTTATTATTATTTGGAGTAATTTGTATTTGGAGTACTTTTTATATCACATCATTTTGACGCTACTTTAATCATTATGATGCCGCCTATGAATCATCAGATATTTCTGCTGCGTGCGTGTAGACAGATATTATGGAACTCGTTCCTGGGACTAATATTGTTGCTGATATGCCCTTTTATTTATGCTCATGACTGTACCGTGTCTTGCCACTACGTACTTCCATTACTGTGCTGGATTGGCATACTCTACGCCAAGTTTGTTCGTCAGGATCTCTGAGTAATTCGTGATTGAGTCGTGAGTGTAACTATGTACATATGTATAAAATTGTGCACTTTACAATAATTTCCAATATACAATGTTTGTTTGTCACTTTGTTATATTTTCAAGTTTCAATCATTCCACACAGATAAATGTGGACTTAGAGTTTTTATTTTTAGAAAAAAAAGTACAACTTCATCATCATCATCATCAACAGCCTTCAATAGTCCACTGCCGGACATAAGCCTCTCCTGAGAAATCAGGTGTTGGCCTACTATACCACGCTGGCCAGACGGGTTGGTATAGGGTTTGTGTCAAGTTTTCCTTCTCTCTGCAGTGCTGTTTCCTGCGTAGTTTTTTCCCTTAGTCGGCTCTTACGACACCCACGGGATGAATAGGGGTGGTGACACTCTGTATTCTTAATCCGTCACCACACGAACACGGACAATTTCATGTATATACACATACATACATACATCCGTCTTTTAGCCTGCAAGGGGAAGACGGAAGCATATTAAAAGCTTACATTTTGTCATCTAGCTTTCATAGTGTCATATCTGCTTAGTTTGAAACTAGATGACGTTGTGTGTCACTTACTTACACACACAAAATAGGAGTTTTGTCACTTACTCACTCGGTCAAGAGCAACGAAATAATTTTTTAACACTTGTTTCTTGTGAGGCTGTGATATCACTCCGGTTGAGCCATCCAGCCAGCCATATGTGCCGAAGTATGGCTCTCAGCCGCTCTAATGTTAATGTTTTAGTGACAATCGTTATACTATTAGAACTAGTAACGGAAATTATTGCTACTTTTAAATAACAATCATATTTTGAAATTGCACTGCGATTTTACTTGTGATAAATCACTACGGTGATTTGATCATGACAAAGATAAATGACATCAAAGTTCATGAAAAGAAAAAAATAATAAATTGAATTTTCTTTTTATTAAAGATTATGACCCTTTTTTAGGGTTCCGTACCTCAAAAGAAAAAAACGGAACCCTTATCTGATCACTTTGTTGTCCGTTCATCCGTCCGTCTGTCTGTCTGTCAAGACCCTTTATCTCAGAACCACGCGTTTCTCTCTTCAGGTATTGAGTTGAAATTTAAACGATATACTCAAGTCTACAGCCTCTTGAAGCTGTGAAAAGATCAAACTTTTAAGTTAACTTAAAAAAGGTAAGGCCGTTTATGCTGCAAAAAACGAAAATTTCGCCACTCTCAAGAGAATTAAAATTTATAGGGTATTGTCCGTTGATCTAGAACTATGAAATTTGGCAACTAAAACCGTCTTATACTACAAGTATATGGAAAAATTTGCAAACTACACATGTAAACGGTAAACTTTTGTACGGAACCCTTTTTTTTTTTTTTTTTTTTTTTTTTTTTCCGTGCGGAAATCCCCTCGGATACCACCTGTCGGTGGCATGTCGGACTCGAACCGACTAAAACCGCACGCCTTCGCCGGGTACTAATAGCCGGGGAACCAGGTATACCCTAGAAAGGAAGGCCCTGGTGCCCCGACATACCTCGGGTCATCTACAGACGAGTAGACGACCCCCGCCCCGTGTGGGAACCCCATGTTCCCTGTGCTCCCTGGAAGCGAGCGCGCTTCGCAACGCGCTCGCCGCCACCCCGGCCTGCTTCTGCTAGGGTGACAGATGGCCTCACCTGTCACCCCCAGGCCTGCGCTTATGGAGGACGGAGGTCGTTCTGCGACCTCCGGCGCCTGAGTCGCCTGCGCTGCCTGGCCCGTGCCCGGGCCTGGCGGGCCGGGAGAGTTCTAAACCTCTCCCGGTCCCGCTCCGCCGTCTCCTTCGCGAGCATAACTTGCTCGCAGAAGGAGACGGCAGAGTTCCACGCACTCTCGCTCCGCACGATAGCCGCAATCAGGCTATCGAGCGAGAGAACTCCCACTCCGATGGCCGCCACGAGGTCTCGCCTCTGCTCAACCCACGCCGGGCACTCTGCCAGCGTGTGGAGAGCCGTGTCCACGGTCTGGCCATCGCAGTGGTTTTGTACGGAACCCTGAGTGGGCGAGTCCGACTTGCACTTGTCCGGTTTTTTTAGATATAGACCTTACGCGATTCTGGCGCTAGCGTAATCATATTTCGCATTCATTTTATAGCTTAGTCATAGATATGATGCGTGATTTAAAATCATATGATTTTATCACAGTTGATTGTGATGTTTTTCCGTCCCGAATTAAATGATCTCGAAAGTCTGTTTTATTATGTATTATATAATTGTATATATTAGTAATTTGTAGTAAACGTTAAAATTACCCCATATCACGAAATATGAAAAAGATGGTTTGTCTGAGACGAAAATGATAAGACACGAATGTTTAAAAGATAGTACAGAAGCGATTGAAATTTCAATATACATCTCGCAATTGTGTGTTGTAATAGAGTAGATAATTTATCTTTTTAATTTATATAGTCTCTGGGAGGCTTAATTTTCATTATCCTTCTATGGGAACGGAACTAGTAACTAAAAAAAAAGATTATTTGTGAATATAAATAAATAAATATATCAGAGGCTTGATTAGAATTTAAATTTGTGGTAAGTATTAGGTTTTTTCATCTGATCAATATGTTTATAGGCCAATGATGATGATGATGATGAAGATTTATATTAAGATTTGACGGGCCTGTTGGTCTAGTGGTTAGTGAACCTGACTGCTAAGCCGGAAGTCGTAGGTTCGATTCCCAACCAGGACAAATATTGTATGATAAGCAGAGTCATTTGTTCTGTGTCTGGGTGTAATTTATCTGGGTATGTGTTTTGAAATATATAAGTATGTTTATCAACAGTCTGGTTACCATAGTACAGACTGCCTAGTTTTGGAATCAGACGGCCGTGTGTGAGATGTGTGTGATAAAAAAAAAACTAAGAAATTTCGCGCTCCCTCACTTTAAAAAATACACTATTACTATTACGCATGTTTTTTTTTTTTTAATACTTACATCAGAAACTTGTTTCAGAAAAAAATGGCTGTTTCTCATTTATTTTGCATAATGGCAGTCATTACTCTAACATCGTGTCAGAAGATACCAGCTCACGCCATCACTTCAATAATGCAAGACATACTATCCCCCAAAAACACGGAACAATTGGCACAATTCCTTAAAGGAGCTGCTAGTGGCCGCATGCAAGAATTGCAGATGCCAAACAAAAGAAACGTCATCTATGAATCCGGTTCGCCAAGAAATTTGGCACGAAATGAAGTAATACAAGAAGTGATGAAGCCAAGAACAACTGCCGTACAAAAGGCAAAGCCTTCTAAGGTGGTTATGCAAAGACCGAATGAAGTGATTTTGCCAAAAAATGCAGTAGTTCAAAATGCAATGCCAAATACACAAGTAGTACAAAAACAAAATGAATTTATAATGCCAATGAATATAGTTATGCAAAAGGCAAATGAACCTACTCCAAAGAATATAGTTATAAAAAAGCCTGAAGTAACTAACAGAGTTTTAGTACAAAAACCTGAAGTGTCAAATCGTAGAATACTTGTACAGAAAGGTAACGAAATACCAATGCTAAGAAGCCTGGTTCTTCAAAATGGGAACGCTGTCCCTTCGCCTCATACATTAGTAATGGCAATGAACGAAGTGCCACAGGTTTTGAAACCTGTTGCAGAAATCAATACTTCAAGAGTTGTAGTACAACAACCAAGAATTGTAGAATATGCTTCAGAAAAAGTCGTAGCATCCAATCCGTACTTACCTGTAGCGTCTCCTGGATCCTCCCTAACGCCAACGATGTTCAATGCTGTACCTCAATCTAAAGGTCAATTTTTAAGAAAAATACCTATACCTCCTCCAACAATCTAAGAAAAAACGAACACTTTAGCCAAAAACCAGCTAAAATTTTTACATCCTATAAGTTTAGATATAAAGGATATAATTTATTTTAGTCTTTAAGTTTTGTCATTGTTAGACTTATTTATTTGTCATTAACTACATGTAATAAAAGTTTTTAAATGTTACGGAATGTTTTAATTAAACTAAACCTACCTCATGTGTTTTTAGGGTGATTTTTCGAGGGTCTAAGCGATTTTGTCATACATATTATAGGAATCAAATCAAAAAACAGGTCAAACATTTGTGTGCATGAACATTTGATGTTTGATTTGGTCTGGGTGTTTCTATGTATAATATGTATGTATTTACAAAAAAAAAGTATATATGTATTTATATCAGTTGTCTAGTACCCATAGTACAAGCTCTCTCTAGTTTGGGACTAGATGGCGTTGTGTGTATGTGGTAGAATATATTATATTATATTAATTTAATTCTGATTAAATTCGTTTTGGGTTCCAAAACAGCTGCCAACGTTTTAGCTGATCCATCTATCGTCGTATTCTTGTGCAAGGCATATAGGACGGTTAGCACTGAGGCTTTGGCGCTGTTGGCGGGTGTGCTTCCGGTCGATCTCGAGGTGCAGAGACATGCAGCCATGTATTATTCAAGACAACAAAACATGGAATGCGATTTTATGGACGCGCGGGATCGCGGTAAAATTACAAGATTGCTTCAACAGCAGTCCGATGTCTATAATGACCTCATAGACGAATGGCAACAACGCTGGGATGAATCTTCCAAGGGGCGCCATCTTTACCAATTCTTTCCATCTGTTCGCGAACGGTTGTCGAGGACATGGCTTCAGGTGGATCACTGTGTCGCTCAATTTCTTACGGGTCATGGTAACTTTAAGTTAGTTAATTTATTCATTTAAATTAGTCGAGTCACCATTGTGTCAATGCTCAACACCTAACTCTCACTATGAACAGTCTGCTTATCAATATCCTCTGGGAATGTAGTCTTTGGTATAATGAACGTAATATAATGCTGAATATAATATAATGCTTGCAGGTGACATCTGAGGCGGTATACTATGGGGATCTTGTGTCAACTAGGGTGAATTTTCGTGCGTTTAGGCAATTCTGCCATACATATTATAGAAATCAAATATAGCTCACGTAGGACCCATAATATTTTGTGGGCGTGGTGCTTCCCTGTTTAAAAGGGTGTGTGCCCATTTTACTTCATTTTGTCTCCCGCTTTGCTAAGGAGGGAAGTGGATTTACTGTATTTCCAACTCCTCCAATTTTCTTCTGATTAATTTCGTTGCGGGTTCCAAGACAGTTTAATTTCTTTCTGGGACTTCCCGAGTGTTATAACTCGGTGTGTTCGTGGGTCACTGCTGTGGATCCTGGTGTACAGGAGTTACAGTGGTGGGCGTGTGGGTGGGATTAGTCCCTATCGTGAACAAGAGATGCAGTAGTGGCAGTGTGGAAGGGATTAGTCCAATCTATCAACGTTTTGCATTTAAACTTACATAATTATGGAGATCTAATGTATCGAAATACATTCAATTAGAGGATATGAGATTCAGCCACAACATTTTGCGAGGAGGTGAGCCCATCAAGAAATGGCGGAAACAGAATGGTAAATAATGAACACTCTCCCTTACCGTAGAAGGCAAACTGAATCTCTATGAGGTTGCCCTTGGAGCAGTTGATTGGGTGACATAAAGAAGACTCAAAAGTTGCAATTCGCGGTATCTGTGTAGCCATTGATGTGCTTTGGGTGGGCCTAATGCAATATTGTATTGAATAGACTGAAATAGAGTCAGGTAGACTGGTAATAGTTTGACTAATGGCCATTTTCTTCTTAAGTGTGGTAAACCCCATCGGGTGCCTTTGCGGCTGGATGGTGTGTCAGAATCGGATCGATTAAAATCATACCGTGTGCCTCTCTGCACCTGTTATAGGAGGGATCCGGACCCCACCCACCAACTCCCGGCACCACCTTCGGGTACATTCTCTATTTGGCAACGTCCGTACTAATGGTATGGTTTACCATTAGTACGGAAATAGAGATCTTAGGGAATTAAACATAATATATATTAATAGTCTTGCCCTGATTGCTTTCAGGTCTGTCCTACTTTAGCGTACTATCTATCTGTATGCCTAAATACTTTGCCTCATTAGCCAGTTTTTAAACTTAAAATCTAAAAATTTTTATAGAGTAGACCTTGTTACAGTGCACATTTAAAAGTCAGTAGTACAATTGATAATTAAATTAATAAAAACATGGCATTACAATAATAGAGATGAAATAACTCTGATGACCTGGTAAAAGGCCATACGAGTAACATAAATACCTATTGCTAGGCTTAACATAAACCGGTCTACCGTTATCAGCCGGCACATCATATGGGTTGAAAAAAACAAACTATAACTTGCATATGGAGAAAGCAAAAAATGTGTTTTGGTGATGTTTAGGCGATTGGAAATAGGCATCTCCTTAGAAAGAATGTTTTAGCTTACTTTACCACGCTGGCCAGACGTGTTGGACTAGGGTTTGTGTCAAGTTTTCCTTCCCTTTGCAGTGCTGTTGTCCTGCGTAATTAACTCCCTAAGTCGGCTCTTACGGCACCCACGGGATGAATAAGGGTAGTGACACTTTGTATGCTTAGTCCGTCACCACACGGATCTCAGTACATATTTGTCAAATTGCCAATTAAATCCCCAAACGAGCATAGCAATTACATACACAATGTCATTTCGCAGAGGTCATTCATATTTAATTGGAAAAGATTGGGGCCCAAATTACTACCCTGCGCAACTCCGTACTATTCTTACCATAAGATACTAATGCTTCAGTAGAAACATAGTGGCGATATCGGTCCTAATAAGGGCTCTATTAATATTTTAAATTAAATCTCTAAGAATTATACCTATCCTAGTTTTTTGGAATCTCGTGAATAATTAACGTTTTGAAAGCTTCATTACATTTTGAGTTAAATTACGTATAAAGGTAACCAGTGGTAATTAAAACCATTGGCGATGTTGTCGAAGCACCCGAAACCATCCTGTGGCTTGCAACATTCAGTATAAGGCTGTAGGATTATAATTTTGACTGCACGGATATCATAGTGATTTAGTCACATCGCCACTTTCTACTGCGCTAAGTGTTGTGGTTTTGATCCCCACATGAGATTTTGGTTCACAAACTGATGTTCTGTATTTTAGTATTCCTTGTTTCAAAGAGTACCAATGAATTAGATGGAGAGCTTGCCTTACCAGTATACTGTGAACAGTGGTATTAGCAAGGGCTGTCTGAACGATTTTCAGTGCTTTCTCTCTAACTGCGCCAGAAGCTGTACTACAAATCACGCAATATAGGGTTTCTTTTTTGTTCTTTTTCATGTTTCTGCCTGTCTTTGCAAAATGACCCAAAATTGATGGTTTTTAGCTATTTTTAACATACGAGTAGAATAGTATTCTAACTAACAGCAATCTGTCAGTCAACATTAGACCATAAATAAATAAGCCCCATGGCTTATTATTATAGTGTGTTTTTTTTATCACGCTTTCTTAAGCTCTTTTTGTATGTATGTATATAATGTAATTTTCGAACGTGATTTTGACCCACTTTAAAACGTCGAAGTAAATTGAAACTTTGCACGCTGATCAAGGACCGATGACAATGCAATAATTTATATAGTGTGTCCCATTATCCTGATTAGGACCCTCAGGATTAACGGCTTTTTCTATATCAAAAAATACGGTAGTGTCTTTTGCCACGTACTAAGGCGTGTGCTGATGCTGAAGCATATGTGAAGTTTACTTGTTACTTTTTTGGGGTTTAAAAAGATAATAATTATAATTAAGTACTAAAAAAGGGAAAAATAAATTATAGTTTAAAAAAAAACACGCTTTTGTGGCTTTTTTTTTGATAAAATGAGTTTACGTTTAGAACTTATAGAAAATTCTAGCTACAAAAGCGTGTTAAGCGTTTAATAGGTCTTTATCCACCCCTTGGGGGTAATTTTTTTTTTATAAGACGCCTCCCGCATTAGGAATAAATCCTGTGTAGCGGGGGACTATACAAATATACATGAAACGGACACAAAGCACACCCAGACTCAGAACAACAATTTGTGGATCACACATGTATTGTCCCATGTGGGGATCGAACCCACAACACTCAGCGCAGTAGGCAGCGGCGAGGTGACCGTTTAAACCACTACGCCATACGTTAGTGTTTGTACTACACGGCTGCCTATGTATGTTTGTTATTTTTATTTTGTTTTTTTTTTAATTATCATCTGTTAATGTAAGAGCGGGCAAGCGAGCAGACGGGTCACCTGATAGAAAGCGACTACCGTCGCCAATGAACGCCGAACTCAGGAGTCACAAGCACGTTGCCGGCCTATGAGGAAGCAGTAAGCTCTTTTCTTGAAGGTTTGAAAGTCTAGTAGTGGGTATGTTAGTCAGTAATAGAATCGAACCGACTAACCACACGGTATCCTCTCAAAAGTGGGTCAATTGCAAAGGACCCTGGTATATCATGGATACTTTCGAGAGATATACCTATTTCAACTGTTAAATAATGATGTAGTAATAATATAATATGAGAATCCAATAGACTAAAACCACACACAGTTTCGTCCCACGTGGTTCTGCTGTAAGGGACCTGGGTATTCCCATGAAAGCGTATTTATGTCCCTAATTGTTCGGACTGTTCGGACTAAATATTTCAAGGAATTCCTGACATCTAGTATCATACTTTATCTATTACATACAAACGCTGTCTCGCTATTTTTGTAACAAATTACATAAAAATGATAATTTCGATTATTATTATGTAAATAAAAGATTGTATATTACTTAAATTCGATAAATTTTTGTGTTTATAAGCTGGCGTTATACTAGCTGCTTCATAGTTCAGAAGTAGAAATTACTCAAAAATTATTAGAAGAATTCAAATACATACAATATGATAACATATACAGGGTTAATTTTCTCAGCATTTGTGACGGTAAATATTTTTCGAGATTAACTTTAATTCTATTTTTCTCAAAATATGTCCTTTTTAATTAAAAAGAAAATGGTAATATTTATCTATAAAATGTATGTAGGTATTTAGAAATATATTTATTTAGTGTCCGTCCGTGTGGTGACGGATTAAGAAGACGGAGTGTAACCCCCCATATCCGTCCCGTGGGTGTCGTAAGAAACAACCAAGGGGGCAAACTACGTAGGACAACAACACCGCAAAGAGAAGGAAAACTTGAAACAAACCCTATACAAACCCGTCTGGCGAACGTGGTATAGTAGACCGAAACCTCCTTTCTTAGGAGAGGCATATGTCCAGCTGTGGACTATTACAGGCTGTTGATGATGATGATGATGATCAAGCATGTTTATTTAGAAGTAACTATGACCGGTTAATGGCACGCTTACCCTCTTTGCGTAAGTGATTGTACTCGCATTGTGTGTTAGGTCATCATACTCTGCCTACAGATGCTTGATTAAATGACCCTGTGACATCTTGCTACATATTACTGGTGTCCAATTTTACCCCTTTTTATAATAAGTGACAAGAGGCCCAAATTTAACTCAAGAATGGGGGATTCTTGTTATAGAAGATATCATTGGTAGTTTGCCCTTAAATCACGAAAAAAATTAATTGTTTGTCTTTTACAGGTACAATGTCAAATGTATACAATGCCGTATCCTCGACCTTGCCAATGTGGTTTACCAGCAATGCCAGCCAACCCACCATGTGCCAGCCCAGTTCCAGTATACGCAGCACCATATGAAATGGCTGCTCCCTTACCAAGAATGGCACTACCACCAGCTTCACCAAAAATGGCAATTGCTGCTGCACCATTCGAAGTACCTTTACCAAAAATGGCAATTCCTGCTGCATATGAATTATCTGTGCAACCTGCTTTTCCAAATATGGCAGTTATGCCAGCACCATATGAATTAGCATTGCCATTACCTTTGCCAAATCCGTCTTGTGGGTGTTTAGAAACTGCCTTGGAAAAACCAATTCCAGAATTCGCTTTGCCAGGTTTTCCACTGCATAATCCATTTTTGCCTGCCGCTTCACCAGTCTCTGCTATGGCCCCGTTCAATCCGTTATTGCCTCCTGCAACTCCGTGTAGCAAGTGCCAGTATTTGAAGAAGATTCCTATTCCACCACCTTGTATTTAAGTGTTTAAAATACATTAACACTTTATTTAGCCCAATCTGTTGAATTCATAAAGCATCTGAGCTTATTCGAGGGGTTTTCTAGTAGCTACTGCGGAGTTCCTCTATCCATCTTCAGATCTTCTTCATCTTCTTCTGCTCCATCATCAGATCATTGGCGTTTCGTATGGTTCGTATAGGCCCTTTACGGTTTAATCTTGGTACTTTTGTGATGTGTGATTAAATCCTGGATTATGACTTCATGTTAATGTTATGAATGTATTGTTAATAAATTATTTATAGTTAACTAATTATTTTTATTGATGTTACATAAAATATTTGGCAGGTTCATAAAGTTTACTAGCTTTTGCCCACGGCTTCACCCGCGTATATGTCTGTTATCACGGTGAAAAGCTATAGCCTATCTCCGTTCTCGAGAATCAAACTATCTCCATACCAAATTTCATCTAAATCAGTTCAGCGGTTTTTGATTCTCGATAAAAACTTAAACCCTAACTTTTCTAACTAAACCGAGATAACATTCATTAAAGAAATATTTTGCGTCCCTGGAAAGGTTTTAGGATAGTTTGTATCCCAGAAATCATCCTTTTTAGGGGGGTGAAAAGGGGGATAAAAGTTTGTATTAGAGAGTAAGATTGAGATAAAATTTGGGTTCTGGGGAAGGACATAGGCTACTTTTTACCGAGATTATCGACATAGCCGGGGCTCCAAATACGCTTTTGTAATTACATAAAATGCCTAAAAATAGGTATATACATATAATAGATATATTCACTCAGGCACAGAAAAATTATCCTGCTCTTTACACAATATTTGTCCTAAGCAGGAATCGAACCCACAACATATTTCAGTAGTCAGGAACCTTTAACCAAAAGACTAGTCGAAAGGCAAAATAACTATAACGCTATCAAATGAAAACTGTAGTAAGTACTGTATTATCGCATAAATCTTTTATGGCTGGTTGCTTACCAAACGTGAACGTTTTGAATGTAAACATTTTCATACGGGACAAACGGAGATACTGACGACGACTGGACGGAAGGTGTAGTAAGTAAGAAGCGGTCACCTCACCGATTCGTACTGATAGTTGTGAATTCGATCCGTACATGGGAAAACACTTTGTGTGATCAACAAATTGTTGTACTGAGTCTGGGTGTTCTTTGTGTCCGTTTCATGAATGTCTGTTAAGTCCCCGGTGATACAGTTTAATACATTCCTAGTGCCGGAGTTGCTAGGTGATCCTGGACCTGGTAAGGGTCGCTGGAGCCGTTAGATGCGGGCATCACAGGACCGGTTAACAACTGGAGACCTCCACAACAGTGGAGAGCCTTGGGGAGGCCTATGTATAGCAGTGGACGGCTTTCGATTGAGATAATGATGATGATGATCAATCAACATCTGGGGGGGAAATCCAGAATAAGACTGGTGTAACTCGGAGAGGCCAGGTTTGTGCAGCTGTGGGTCCGTCCTGTGGTTGAAAAGGCCTATAGAACAAATACATCACCTGGTCATTAAGGATAATGGTTTGTAAGCGCCATCGGCCGACCGGGTTTTGTGAAAGCAGATATCCAACAGTTTTTCTTGTCTTTTCTGGTAGGTCGCGTTATGAACCTGCAAAGCTTTAGTTAGAAGCCCGTCTGGTGACAGCAGACTGATCTATTTTAGGTAATAAGGATAAAAATGTATATATATGTGGCTCTTATGACCTTTCGCTTACGTCAGGGTTCTCTCATCACTGTTCAATTTTTTTTTATGTTAGAGGGGGCAGACGAGCCGACGGGTCATCTGATGAAAAGTAACCATCGCCACCCATGAACCTCTGCAACTCAGGAGTCACAAACGCGTCGCTGGCCTTTTAGTAAGGAGTATGCTTTCTTTTAGTGTCTTGTTTATGTATTTTTTTTGAGTCAATTCAAGTTTGAAAGCGCATTGCAATAAGCACTGCTTAATAACGAAGATTTAAGGTTTATTAAAGCCTAATCTGACTGCACCACACATGATGACTGACTGATCCACAAATTGTTGTTCTGAATCTGGGTCTTCTTTGTTTCCGTTTCATGTATATGTGTAAAGTCCCGCGCGACACAGGATATAGACGTATTTAAAAAAAAAGTTTTAAAACATGTAACTTAACTTAAAACTAAACATTTTCTATTGATGATCTTTAAATTGTGTTGCAAGCGTTATCTGAGATGAAGATTGTTAATATTTTAACGAACAGTTTTACATTTTTTTTACTTAACTTTAGATAATATATCTGATATGAAGATAGCGCACATCCTAAGATAATATTAACGTATTTAAGTAGAAATACGCAAGACGAATAATTAGACTTGTAGTAAAACCTGATAAGTTAAGAGGGATACGTAGTAAAAAAGAAACTAGTTCGCTTGCCAGCTATAAAAATTGTACTTGCCACTTGTAAAATTTTGAAATTTTTAAATAAAGAACATGTCTGCAATTAGAAAGATATTGTGTTTAGGCTTCCTGCAAGCTTTTTATTTGTCTGTGAGTATACATATTTTACCGATATTCTTTTTTTTTGACATTTATAAACCAGGTTTAATCCACGTCAAAAGAGTTTAAAAAAGGTTTAGCAGAAGAAAAAAAGCTCAGGTGTATCCTGTCCTGTGTATCCTGTGTACCTATCACTCCTGACGTCCTGACAGAAGTTGACAGAAGAGGCTCTCCTCTTTCTGCCATACCAAACTTTGTACAATATATATTCTGACATCACTTCATCATCATCATCAGCCTTTAACAGTCCACTGCTGGACATAGGCCACTCCTTAGAAAGGAGGTTTTGGCCTACTATACCTCGCTGGCCAGATTGGTTGGTATAGGGTTTGTGTAAAGTTTTCCTTCTCTTTGCAGTTTTGTTGTCCTGCATACTTTACTCCCTTAGTCGGCTCTAACGACACCCACTGGATGAGTGGGGGTGGTGACAATCCGTATTCTTAATCCGGCACCACACAGACACTACACTGACATCACTTATCAAAAATATATTTAAATTTTTAATGTTTTTAAAATATTCTTTCTTCCGAGACTTAACTGATTTACTGTTAAAAAAAATATAATTTTGACAAGAGGACTAGTAAAAAAGTTATTTTTACCCCAATAAGTTTTTTAATTATTTGTTTTCAGTCTGTCATTGCTCAAATATTCCAAAATATCCCAGCATCTCAGATACAAAATATCCAGCACATGCAATACAGCCAGCAACAACCTATTCCGTCAACTTTGTTATCTACATTCACAACATCTATGCCCATGGTCGATAAACTTGGCGCCATCGCAAACGTCATACAAAAAATGCCCGCGAATCCTAGAGGAGTTGGCCAGAGACAATACATGGCTGACGCATTAAAGCAGTCGGCGTTAGAGAGCCTAATGATGGCAGCCAACGCGTGTAAATGTAACCAGAGGTCTGAAGGCTCGTTGTCTATGCCGCAGCAACAAATGAGAGTTGGCGGTGACGTAATGGGTAATAGGATGGTAAAAGTGAAGTATATCTAAATTTAAATTAAGAATGTATTTATTTTTGTATAATATTTTAATGTAAGGTTATTTATTTAATAAATTATTTTACCTCGATTTCATTTTTCTCTCCTTTTTCCGAGCCCTTTTCCCTAACTAGGTGGGGTCGGCTTTAACTTTAGTACGATATGGCTAGGTTTCTTAAAAATACTCACTCGTATTTTAAATTACCAGTACCTCGCCTAGAAATTTTTAGGTTGAGTTGTGTTTATACGGCACCACTTATTTATAACTCGTTGCCGGAGAATATTGCAACTCTTCCTTATCACAGATTTTGTACTACGTTAATGAATTGGCTAACAGCAGAGTACTTATACTCCGTCAATGATTTTTTAAAGAAGTACTCTACTCAGTCATATCACTTCAGAAATGCATTAGTGTAGTAATTATTTTTAATATGATTTTTATAATTTCAATAGCAAATTAGTCATCAATTTAATGTTATTAAGTATTTTTATTATTTTCGTAATTTTATCTGTATAATTTTAAAAATTTGCATGCTATCTAAAGATATGTGTCTTGTGTTTTTAACATTGTAAACCACCTACTGTGACTACCACATTTTCTGGAAATAAATATTATTATTATTCCATTTTTAACTTCGAGCAACTGACATGAAACCTCCACAATCTAAGTAGGCGATATCGAAGTTCTGTCGAAAGACTGTTGTCGGACTCTGTAGGGCTCCAACTGCTCGTAACGGTTACCACATATGTTCGTGCGTCAACCGAGGCGTGCTCTTCGAGGCACTTACAGACCTGGCTAGGATTGCTTCACTTTCCTACGCGTTAACTTACTCAGCTACCACTTAGCCACGAGCTCTTCAAGGATTGATTGGAGGAGATTAATATAGCTACTAATACTATGGTATTTGTGATTATACCATAATAATAAGCCTTTATTCATTCCACGAGTTCTTGAGTAGAGACAGCGTTTCGGCAAACGTAGTGTAGGACGCCCACAGGCCAGGTGCAGTGACGATTTACGCAAGATGGCTGGCAGGAGCTGGATGCGAGAACCCCAAAATCGATCTAAGTGGCGTGCAATAGGAGAGGCCTATGTCCAGCAGTGGACCGCGATAGGCTGATGATGATGATGATTCATTCCACGTCAAATGTTTGTTAAATGTGTTAGTATATTAAATTTTATTCTTAAATCTAGTGTTAGTATTGTTAGTTTCTTCATCTTTTTTTGACCGGATCCCGTTTGGGTTAAGGCCTCCTCTTTCTCCTTCCAGAATCCTCTAACCTTGGCGAGGGACATCCAATCGCGCCCTGCTGTTTTTCTAATATCAACAGCCCACTTTTTTGCTGGTCTACCGACTTTTCTCTTTCATGCTGGTCCTTTCCAAGATGTTGTTTTTATGGTCCATCTGTTAACTAAAAATTAGAAAAATACATAAAATAAGGTAAGAAATCATCAGAAAGAAAACAAAAATAACAGATGCTTTAACACAGGCATTAAAACTAAAATGGCATTGGGCCGGTCACATCTAGAGGTACAAAGATAATATAGCTACTAAATTAAGCCAATTACAAGTTTTCACGAAATGAATCATTGTAATTTAACAGAGGTTCTGGAACATTAACTAACACGACATTGCGCCTATACAATAAATAATAATGTATCTAATCATCATCATCATCAACAGCTTTTAATAGTCCACTGCTGGACATAAGCCTCTCCTTAGAAAGGAGGTTTTGGCCTACTATACCACGCTGGTCAGACGGGTTGGTATAGGGTTTGTGTCAAGTTTTCCTTCTCTCTGCAGTGTTGTTGTTCTGCGTAGTTTTTCCCTTAGTTGACTCTTACAACACCCACGGGATGAATAGGGGTGGTGACAATCTGTATTCTTAATCCGTCACCACACGGACTGTCACAATGTATCTAAAAGTGTTACGATTCTAAAAAATTATTTATTATTAATAGTAGAATTTATTATTAATTAATTACATAAATTAAATGATATGTATGCCTGTGCTTTGGTAATCAGTCAGCTGATGAACATACTATATTTCTGAACACATACATATTAAGATGAACTACACACAGACACAATAAATATAATTGTGCTCATCATACAATAATTATTTATTGTCGTTATTGTTCATTGTCATTTTGTAACGGACAGCGATTCTAGCCAACAGAGTAATCTCTGTTAGCTAGAATCGTTGTCCGCTGAAATCATTTGGTGGCCGCGATGCCGCGAGCTTAATGCGGAAGCCTCGGTTAAGTCCAAATTTTGTAAATTGTTTTGTTGTAAATGTATAAATAAATTTATCGTGTAGTATAATAGGCCAAAACCTCCTCTCTAAGAAGAGGCCTATGTTCAGCAGTGGACTACTAAAGGCTGTTGATGTCTGATGATGATGAGGATGAAACTTATTTCTTATTTCCTAGTTCAAACTTCCTGATGATGCTAGATGCTACCTGCGGGAATAGTTTCGTCTTACAGAGCGCATAACTTTGTTACACAAAGAATTAGATATAGGGCTCATTGGACGCGGTAACTTAACTACTAAACCCTGGCAGGTCCTGGCTCCTGTATGTAGCAAACCCATCTACTTAGAGGTGAGGATGGAGAACAGTCTGATGACATTTTAACTTTCTCATACTGAAAATTATAAAGGAATTATTCAATAATACACTTACCTGACTGTTAACAAATTCCGATGTATTGATTGTAGCAATAATGGTACTAGTAGGGTTAGGATCTTCAGGTACTATTGATGGACAGAAATTTAATACACAATTGCAGTAAAAGTTGTTGACGAGCATATACTAGAAGATCCCTATTTATTGCGGCGAACTAGATGAGCAGATCTACACTTCAAAACAGCGCAATATTCACAATGAATAGCAATGTTGTATTTTGTATTTTGAAATACATAAGTATGTTTATGATTTAGCTGGTTACTATAGTAGAGGCTCTGCTTAGTTTGAAATCAGACGGCCTTGTGTGGGTGTGCAAAGTTATTATTATAATCACTAGATTATAATAATTAAAAATTGAAAAACATTGATATTAACTAAAGCATCAATGTTTTTCAATATGTGTAAATAATACTATCGATGCTTTTGTGGCGACTTCCACGTACGGTGAAACAAATAAACATAATACAGCGCCATCTAACGAAACACAGTGAACTACGAAGTAACTGCTAATCCTGAAAGATTCTCACGCCGATTAGCATATATGCAACTTCCCAACATCAAGCCTGAGGCCACAACCCTTTTTTTAGAGGCCATCAAGCATTGGAGCAGCTTGGCACATTAAATGTGGTACTCCTCCAATGGATTAAAGGGCACAGTTACTCACACAGATGAGTTGGCAAGGAGGGGCTCGGCAACCCCAGCTACCGGCCCAACCATACTCCTGCCAATACCGTATAACCAAATACGATTCTGGGCCAGGCAACGGACTCGTGAAGCACACAACCGGAGGTGGAAAACTCACCCGACTGCAGACAGTCCAAACTGGTGCTGACTCAAGTCACAAGACAAGATTAGTCGTAATAGCTGTCGGAATTATAACAGGACACCTAGCCCTGAACCGACACCTATTCATCATCAATGCGACGGATAGCCTTCTGTGCAGGGGATGTCTGGAAGCAGAAGAAACCGCCGCCCACGTAGTCCTGGAATGCGAGAGAGTGGCCACACAACGGGCAAGTATCATTCTCGATACAAAATCGCTCCTAGAAGCATGTGAAAGCCTCAGGAGGCTTCTGCGCTTCTGGAATAAGCTTGGTTGGCTCACCTAGCTAACCAGTCTTCGACGCATAAAGGACCACTCTTGGGTCTAAAAAAAACCAAAGCACACAGCCAATACCAATACCAAAAATACATAGGTATATTTGAGAATAGTAGCACTGTTGTCATTGATTGTACTCTTCTGCTTACTCGAAACTGAGTCATCTATAAACTCACGTATCGTATCGATCTGATAAGAATTGTTTAAGATAAAACAATTGCCCAATAATTAGAATATAACTATAAATAACTATAAGAACGGCTCGCAACAAAATATATCATTTGTATAATCTTTGCCAGTTTTCGAGTATTAGTTATGAAGTAAATAAAATGTTGTTCAAGATTTGTATCATTGTCAAATTACTGGTTGTACAGGTAAATAACTGGATTATGCAATTTTTTTATAATCTTGATTTTCCAATTAACGAAAGTTAAGGAAACGAAAAGAGTGACCATTGATACAAAAGTTATTATGGTGCTTGAAACAATTTCATATCACTTCAGTTGGAATAAAATCTAGTCTGACTTTAAAATATATTTAAAGGGATATTTTAACACTAATTCGATCGGGTTCGATCCCCACATGGGACGACACTTTGTTTGATCCACAAATTGTTGTTCTGAGTCTAGGTGTTCTTTGTGTCCGTTTCATCTTTGTTTGTTGAGTCCCCCACGACACAGGATTTATTCCTAATGCGGGAGTCGTCTTTTTCAAAATGAATGAATGAATGAATTAATGTATATTAAATAAAGTTCTAATTATTTTACTTTTATTCTACTACTACTCCTAAAGTATTAGATTGCACGGATGACGTGGTATGGTTTAAGCGGTCACCTCGCCGCTACCTACTGCGCTGAGTGTTGTGTGTTCGGTCCCCACATGGGACAACACTTTGTGTGATCCACAAATTGCTATTCTGAGTCTGGGTGTTTTTGTGTCCGTTTCATGTATGTTTGTAAAGTCTCCCGCAATACAGGATATAGTACTAATGCGGGAGTTGTCTTTAAAAAAGAGAAGGAAGAAAAGAAAGAAAAGTATCATAATTACTGTGAAAATATTTTTGGTTACAGGTAACAGTCTGCCAAGTCCTTCATCAGGACTTAAGTAATATACAGACGTCATCAGATAACTTGAAAAGATGTACAAGACAGACCAACAGTTTACCTTTACATGTAAATGGTATACCATACCAAAATGGTGGCAATACTTTACCAAATCCAGAAAATAATATGGCACAAAATTTAAACAGTCTACCAATGAATATGGCAACTCAAAATGGAAATAATTGGGCATTTGAAAGACTAGTCCAAAATGGTAATAACATAAATAGCAATGGATTTCTATTAAATAATGGGCCATCTAATAATATTCCACATTTAAATAATTTGCCAGATTCCAATAACTTGCTATTTGAAAGTGGTATTTCAGCAGGCAATAATCAACCAATTAGTAACATTTTGCTAAATGGGCATAATGAACAAGTGGCAAATGGATTCAAGAACTTTAATAATATTCAAAGTGAAAATGGATTTATCAATAATTGGCCTTCTGTAAATTCTAATCGAATGCAAAACACCAATGATTTTCAAGTAACTAACTCAGCACATTTAAATTTACCAGGATCATATAACTTTGGACAAAATTTGCCAGAGAATAACAATCTGCTATATAATAACAATAAAATGACAAATTCATTCCAAAATAATGTACCTATCGCTAATGCATTACAAAACTCATTTCATTTACCCACAAATAACATGCTGTCAAATAATAATAATATGTTATTTTCAAATGGAATAAACAATTTAGCCACTAAATCTCCGTTGTCAAAATATTTTCCAATAGGCAATGGATTACCAGGAATACATGATTTTCAAATGACTAACGGAATAGGAAACTTTAATAACGGATTACCCCTTGCTACTAATAATTTTCCATTTTTCAATAATGTGCCATTGAATGGACTTCAAGACCCCAATATTAATGATCCTTTTACAATTACTGGTAATATACCACTGCATACAATTGTACCAAGAAATGTTATAAATGACAATGAAAGAATTTTTAACGGTGGCGTTATAGCAAATGACTTTTCTTCTGCTGGAAGAATACCACCTAATGGATTTTCATTTAATAGTTGGCCACGTTTTAATAATATGATGATGTCTAATGCTGGTCCAATTGGCAAGAACTGCCAAGCATAATGTATCAACCACTCCTGTCACCGTTATAACTGATTTTTTGCAGATTATGATGAGTGTTATTTTTAAAGTATTTGTAAATAGTATTTATTTTAGATGATATATTAATTTATTAAATAAAATAAAATATTGATAAGAATCAACAATTCGAGTTTAATAGTTTTTGTTGAAAAGTTGAGAAGTCAATGAGTAGGTAGAAACGAAATAAATGAATGATTATTCATTTTGTCCTTATTTCAAAATCCTAATAATCCTTTCTTGGATGAATATTTTCCATGGGTTTGTGGTAAAGCTGGCAAACAAGCAGATGGATCATCATATGGTATACATCTGCAACTCAATAGTTATAAAGGCGTTTTTAGCCTTTATGTTTCATCCCCCATTTTTTCCCTCTTTTTTATATGTGGAAACCCCATCGGGCCGTCACCCAACCGAGGTTTGCGGCGGGGTGGTGTGTTGGCATCGGACTGACTAAACCCACACGTTGTGCCACTCTGCGCCTGTAATAGGAGTGATTCGGGAACTGCTGTTATTAAGACATCCGGAACCCTCCTAGCACCTGACCCACTATGGCGCGAGCACCGTCCCCCTGGAAAAGGGGAAGGTACATTTACTGTAATTGCCAAGAATTAAATATTTCCACGGAAACTACCTTAGCATGATATTCAACTATCGTATAAGTACTATTGTAGTTGTTAAGTTATAATATACCGTGTGTTATGTAATTTAAAGTCGTGTTTAACTATATGTGTCAGAGATCTATTGACGGGCTTGTTGGTCTTGTGGTTGGTAACCTTGACTACTTCGCCACAGGTTGTGGATTCGATTCATACCCAGGTCAAATACTTGTATTATGAGCACGATCATTTGTTCTGTGTGTGTCTCTAATATGCAGGTAATATATAGTAATATATAAGTATGTTTATCAGCATCTGGTTACCATAGTACAGGCTCTGTCTAGTTTTGGGTTCAGACAGCTACTGACTGCCGTCTGTGAGATGTTTAGAGTTATTATTATTCATTATCTATCAGGCCTGTGACGAAAAGCGAGGACAACACAAAGGTTATGTTTTATAAACAATTACTTTGAATATTACAACATTTCTACGATAAATTGCACATTTTGGCTTCTTCGGCACGTATACTTTATATTTAAGTAATGTTAGTTCATTTGGATTTGCTTGAAAGTCAAAGTAATTATTAAATATAGTTTCGACATTTCTAAATTATTATCCGTGTGGTGACGGATTAAGGATACGGAATGTCACTATCCTTATTCATCCCGTGGGTGTCGCAAGAGCCGACTAAAAGAGCAAACTACGCAGGACTGCAGCTCTGCAAAAAGAAGGAAAACTTGACACAATCCCTATACGAACCCGCCTAGTCAGCGTGGTATAGTACGCCAAAACCTGCCAACTAAGGAGAGGCCTATGTCCAGCAGTGGACTATGCTAGCCAACTAGGCTGTAATGTGAAATTATTGAAAGAAAAACAAAAAACAAACCGGTGTTTTTTTGGTTGGCGGTTTGTACCAGGGATTGCCTTTCTAGGGTACACCTGGTTCCCCGGCTACTATGATACGTTTGGCTTTGAGTGTTGATGGTGACATTCTGTATTCTTAATACGACACCACACGGATAATAATTTAGTAATATTCCTTATATATAGTTTATTCCTTATAAACTATTGCCAGCCTTACAAACTATTATTTTTCGCCTTAATTTAGGTATCCTTTGGGAAAAATATTCTTTTCTGTACTCTCTACTGTAAGGAGTGAACTGGATTTATTGTATTTCAAACTTCATTAATATATTTCTATTCATTTCGTTGCGTGTTCCACGACACTTTAACTTTTCCTGTGACTTCCCGAGTGTCAATACTCGGTGTATTCGTGGGTCACTGCTGTTGATCCTGGTGTACAGAAGTTACAGAAGGGGACGTGTGAGAAGGATTAGTTCTATTGAAAAAAATATCTTTTTTTTTGTATGTATGGTACCTTTTTCTCATAACTTTAAAGCAGTATGTGTGTTTAAGTCTAAAGATGTAACAATCAAACACACAAACTCATGTTTATAACATATGTTATAATTTGAAAGAACTTCAATTAAATTGATAAGAATTGCACCTGGCACCTTTATAAGTGGGTCATTGTTGTGGCTCGTGTTTTGTGTGTGTGTTTATAATTCAATAATGAGAATGAGTCGCTGGGTCGTTGTACTTTTACAAGTGCTTACAATGCAGGCAAGTAGTAGCAAATTAAATTTTCTGATGACTTTATAAATGTAGTTTTTTTGTTATAGTATATTATAATATGATATTTTTTTAATATTTTCACACATCCCTCACGGCCGACTGGTTCTAAACTAAGCAGAGCCTGTACAATGGTAAACATACTTATATATTTTTGAATACATACATATTATAGACAAAGTACACCCAGGCACAGAATTGTTTGTATTATTTGTCCTGGGTGAATCGAACCCACGACCTCTGGCGTAGCAGTCAGGGTCACTAACCACTAAAACAACAGGCCAGTCGATAATAGCACAATTTGGATAATACTCGTAATATATATGATTTCAATTAAAAATAAATGATGATTTAATCGTGGAAGAGCATTCTGGATTTTTTATTATTATTATTATTTATGGACCAATATGGACCAATCAAATGAACCAACGAGGGGGGGGAACCCGATGGTCCTATGAAAACCTGCAACTAAAGCGTCACAAGAACGTAGACTCACTCATCATCATCAACAACAGCATTTAATAGTCCACTGATGGATATAGCCCTCTCCTCAAAAAGGAGGTTTTGGCCTACTATACCACGCTGGCCAGACGGGTTGGTATAGGGTTTGTCCAAGAGGCGGCGCGCCTGGCCACAGGGGGAGTCTCCCTGGTGGTCGGGCGCATTGAGGCGCTGGGCTTACGGGTGGCCCTAGATAAGACGGAGGCCCTGTTATTTCATGGGCCCCGTCGTGGTCCACCCCCTGGCGCCTCAATCGTGGTCAACTCGGTCCTCGTACCGGTTCGGGCCCAGATGAAATATCTGGGCCTGATCCTCGACGGGAGGTGGCTCTTCGACGAGGGGGCTTCGACCTAGGGCGACTTTTGCCCAATATGGGTGGACCCAGCGTCGCGACAAGACGGCTGTACACGGGGGTTGTCCGGTCAATGGCACTGTACGGTGCACCGGTGTGGGCGGCGGCTCTGACCGCCCAGAATAGGGTACGCCTCTGGCGCCCTCAGAGGGTAATGGCGGTCAGAGAGATACGCGGTTACCGTACCGTTTCGACGGAGGTGGCATGCGCGTTGGCCGGAACTCCCCCGTGGGATTTGGAGGCGGAAGTGCTCGCCGAAGTTTATCGGCGAGTGGCTGACTCCCGGGCGGAGAGCGGATTTCGCCCTCCGCCCGAGGATGTGCGCGAGTGGCGCGAAGCCGCTCGCCAAGCCACGATGGCTCGTTGGTCGTTCCGGCTGGAGACTCCACGCGCTGGCTTCGCCACCGTGGAGGCTCTCCAGCCGGTCATCGCCGAGTGGGCAGGGCGGCAGCACGGGACCCTTTCCTTCCGGCTGACGCAGGTGCTTTCCGGGCACGGTTGCTTCGGAAAGTACCTGCACTCGGTCGCTAGGAGGGAACTGAGTCCCGCCTGCCACCACTGCGACTGCAGTGAGGACTCGGCCCAGCACACGCTGGCGGTCTGCCCCGCATGGGCGGCGCAGCGCCGGGACCTTACTGCAGTCATCGGAGTGGATCTCTCGCTACCGGCCGTAGTACGCTCCATGGCCGGTAGCGACAGTTGTTTTACCGCGGTCGCAACCTTCTGCGAGGTAGTAATCTCGCGGAAGGAGGCGGCGGAGAGGGCCCGGGAGGACGACCTCCACTCGGACCCGATCCGCCGCCGGCGAACCGGGCGGCGGAGGCCCGCCTATCACAGCCTCATGCCGCACTGAGTGTGGCCGCGGGTGGACGGGGTGGGTTTCCCCTCCACCCGCATTAGTTTGGCCAGCCGCGAGGGGGCGGCGTCCGCGTGTGCCGGACGTCGTCTAAAAAGAGAGAAAAAACATTGAGACGGAGCCCGCACCAGGAGCGGGCTGGCGCTAGGAGGGGTCCGGATGTCTTAACAACAGCTGTTCCCGGATCCCTCCTGTTACAGGCGCAGAGTGGCACACCGTGTGGTTTTAGTCGGTCCGAGTCCGACACACCACCCCGCCGCAAACCCCGGAGGGGTGACGGTCCGAGGGGATTTCCACACGTTAAAAAAAAAAAAAAAAAAGGGTTTGTTTCAAGTTTTCCTTCTCTTTGCAGTGCTGTTGTCCTGTGCAGCTTGCTCTCTTGCTCGGCTTTTACGACACCCACGGAATGAATAGTGAGTGAGGGTGAGTATTTAAAACACCTACTCACACCCACTCCCTTGGTAAAAAGCAACGAAATAATGGCATATCAGTGGTTTTCTGCGTGATAGTGGTAGTGCTCCAATCGAGTTGACCCGTATGTGCCGAAGGAGCGTACCGTATGGAGCGAGCGTATCTGAGGTGTCGGTTCATGTCGTGAGGTGTTCCACAGGGCTTTGTTTTGGACCCCTCCTATGGAACATATATTTCTGTGTGGACTATCTAACATAGGGTACGACTGCGGCATTTGAGCTGATTTTTCCCCCGGACTGGGTGTAATTTGTTACGCCAATGACACATGGGTCGCAGCCCGGGGAGCGAACTTTCAAGAGGCGGCTCGACTGGCCACCAGGGGAGACCGTCTGGTGTTGGTCTCCTATTAGTCGTCTGGCGCATTAAGGCGCTGGTCTTACGGGTGGCCCTGGATAAGACGGAGGCCCTCTTATTTCATGGGCCCCGTCGTGGTCTTTCCCCTTTTTTTTTCTGTGTGGAGATCCCCTCGGATACCACTTACCGGTGGCAATGTCGGACTCGAACCGACTAAAACCGCACGCCGTCTCAGGTACCAGTAGTCGGGGAACCAGGTGTACCCTAGAAAGGAAATCCCTGGTGCCTCGACATACCTCGGGCCATTTACGGCCCCCCCTGTGTGGGAACCCCCATGTTCCCTCTGTGCTCCCGGAAGGGCGCGCGCGCTTTGCAACGCGCTCGCCGCCACCCCGGCCTGCTTCTGCTAGGTTGACAGATGGCCTCACCTGGCCTGCGCTTAATGAGGATGGAGGTCTTTCTGCGACCTCCGGCACCTGAGTCGTCTGCGGTACCTGGCCCGTTCCCGAGCCTGGCGGGCCGGGAGACTTCTAAACCTCTCCCGGCCCGCCAGGATCGTGGTCCTTCCCCTGGCGCCTCAATCGTTTTTAACTCGGTTCAGGCCCACATGAAGTATCTGGGCATGATACCCGACGGGAGGTGGCTCTTCGACGAGCACTTCTGACAATTTGCTCAAAAGCTAAGCCCAAGGGCAGACGCAGCGCCGACAGCTTTGGACGGGGGTCGTCCTTTCAATGGCACTGTGCACTGGTGTGGGCGGCGGGTCTCAGAATAGGCAGCCATTTTTGGCTCAGAGTTTAGTGGCGGTTAGATCTATACGCGGTTACCAAACCGTGTTGTGTCGTTTGCCCGGCTTGGGCGTCGCTACGTCAGGTCCTTACTCCAGTCATCAGAGGAGATCTTTCGCTACCGGCCGTCATACGCTCCATGTGTGGCCGGTAAATATAGTTGTTTTACTGCGGTCGCATACTTCTGGGAACACGTCATCAGAATTAGGTGGCGGAGAGTTCCCGGGAGGATGATCTCCACTCGGACCCAATTTGCCAATTTGAACCGGTCAGTGGAGACGCGCTTACCAGCACCTTATGCCGCCCTGAATTTGGCCTCGGGTGGACGGGATGGGTTTTCCCTCCACCCGCTATAACGGCCAGCCGCGAGGAGGCGACGTCGCCTAAATAGAGAATGTACCCGAAGTTTGTCGTTCTAAAAGCACCTATGCCTTAATAAAATTAGTTCTCCTTAATAAAACTAATTCTTTTGCAATATTTCATAATGATTTCAACCACTACAACAGCAGAGGGAAGCCTCTGCTGTTGTTTCATATTGTTGTTATTTTAAACTCCAACAGTTGGCAATAACGTAAGAGTTGAATTCATTCATTATTTTTTTCTGCTTTTGTTATGTTTCAGTATGTCATCAACCAACCTACGCGTGATTACATACTAGCGTACATTCCAGTTGAAGAATTTGAATATTTGACGGTGAGTGCAATTCTTTTAGGTCTTAAAATTAATTGAATTAATTATCTGATATAATAAGTTTTAAATTTACTTTATTTGTCTAATGAATTTGCTAAAGATCTGTTTGATACTAAACAATTAACGCCATCTAGTGACACTTAGCCGAACTTGAACTATGTCTGTAAAGTCCCCCGCTACTCAGGAAATATGTCTTTAAAAAAAAAGGGAAAATCCAAAAAAATAGTTTTGGGGACAGGCATACAGGATCACATACCCTAGTAGAAGAATTTGCCTATCACTTCTTTTTTCCACAACAGATTTAGTTTGTTGTTGTATTAAAAGTCTACAACTAGACTGTGTCGTGACTACACTTTCCGTGTGGTGACGGATTAAGAATACGGAATGTAACCACCCCTATTCATCCCGTGGGTGTCGTAAGAGCCGACTAAGGGAGAAAACTAGGCAGAACAACAGCACTGCAGAGAGAAGGAAAACTTGACACAAACCCTATACCAACCCGTCTGGCCAGCGTGGTATAGTAGGCCAAAAATTCCTTTCTAAGGAGAGGCTTATGTCCAGCAGTGGACTATTAAAGGCTGTTGATGATGATGATGATGATGATGAACTAGCATTAGGATCAAATTCTCTTTATGGAAATTTATAATTATAGTTTTCTATATTTATCGACAGGAACACAATTTTTTAAAGTACTAGCTGTCTCACGGGACTTCACCAGGGTCTCTCAAAAGGAATAACTATTATCGCAACACTTATCATTGGTGCTCAGTTGCTATTGGTCGTAGCGTGGTGCTATATAGCCTAGCCTGTAGCCTAATGCGATGAATGGGCTATCAAACACTAAAAGTTTTTTTTAATTTGAACCATTAGTTCCTGAGATAAGTGCATTCAACCAAATAAACAAACTCTTCAGTTTTATAATTTTAGTATGGAATTCGTCTTAAAGTCTCATTTATAAATTCCTACTACGATTATTCGAAAACATTTACTGCAACTCCTGAGTTTCAGGCGTTCATGGGCGGCGATAGTCACTTTTCATCAGGTGACCCATCTGTTCGTTTGCCCCTCTTCCATTAAAAAACATATTTTTACAGAATGCAGAAGCTGTCCCCACTACATCATACAAGCTGGTCCTACCTGAAGAATATGACACCGGAGCTGTAATTGTCATAGATGAAACCACCTATTACAATGGGCTGTTCAACTCGATAGGGTGTACACCGATCTTTCTGAACCAAGGACTTCCAGGTAAAAACACACTTTAACAGCTGATAGACTTTTATTGAAAGTATCAATGAATAAGGGAGATAAATAATAAATAAAAAATAAATCAATAGTATTAGTCGATTAATTATATTAATCGTCGATTAGTATTTATACAACTTACCAACATTTGGGACGTTGTACGTCAGGCTGGATCACCTAGCAAGATCAAAGGATTCTTCCTTTGTGGTGGAGGGACAAAAATTTCCAGACAGAAATAAAACCCGTTATTTTACCGTTGTATACACACATAAGCCCTCAAAGGCGGTAATCATGGAGTATATTCATCATGAGGTTCAGGATCTTTCTTCTATTAACTGAAAGTCATATTCCTTTTTGTAAATGATATTTATTTTGACGTTGTAATTATTAATTGTTTTAAAAAAATTAATTTATTTTGACATTTTATTTAGTATTTTGAACTTTTAATTATTTTGACATTTTCGATTATTCATTATTTTGACATATTTAGTTCGACTTTTTTGATTGTTAATTATTTGTCATATTGAGTTTGACATTTTTAATTATTTTAACATTTTTCCTGATTTAATCATCATTTATCAATATCAGTATGTTTTTGATTAAGGAATCAAATCAACGTCTATTTTTATTGAATTGAATAAGTATATGATTACTGGACTTTAAACAGTTGTATTGCACAGGAATAATGAAATCCTTTTATTGTTTTGTATGCCGATTAGCGAAACATGGCGATCTTTTTAAATTTGGTTGTAACATCTGAATTTACCTGTGTTTTACGAAATAAATGATTGATTGATTGATTGATTGATAAAGTTGTCAAATAAATGCTGATGATCTCAACAGCTTCTCTGCTTTAATAACCCTTTTTTCTCTTTCATTTAGGAACTGTGACTAATTTGACCAAAAGTATTTACAAAACTAGTTCATTTCTAGTCAGATGGCAACAATCGAGCATCTGAATTGTGTTTCACCTATTAATATTGACAATCATCAGAAAACCATATGCGAAAATCCATACACTTAATGTTTATTATATCTTATCTCTCTTTATCTTCTTTTATTTCAGTTTATACGTTCTCTACGGCAATTCCCATCTATCAACAAATAAGCTTGCCAACCATATCAGTTCTGCCATCTGTATCAGTACCAACTATCACTATATCAGCACCAGTTTCCTTTCCAACAACATCAATCTCTATACCAACATTGCCATTAAATTATGTGAAACACGATAAAGTCTATGAAGATTCTCCAGTTGAAGAGGTGGCAGCAGCAGCAGTGGCGCAGTCAGCTGTGGCTCCAGTAGTTGAATCAGTTCCTGTAACCACAGCGCCAATTTCTGGCACTATAGGTTTTAATGGCATGGTGCCAGCGTCCGGCAAAATTAAAATTTACGCTCATTGTTTTTAATTTTTGGGAACTAAGGTTACATTTAGTTGTATTATGTTAAACTTTATTAATTATTTATTACAGTACCTTATTGAAACTAAAAAAGTTTTTTGAGAAGAATTGTGAGTTACATTGAATAAAAAATGCGATTTTTTTTGTTGTTTTGTTATCCTAAATTACAATGAATATTAATAATTTTAAGAGAATTCAATCTCGCGTTTATTATAGTATATTACAGGCTATTGATGGGATGCGTGATGGATGTGAAACTCTGTGTGTATCAGGATTTTTCCTGAATGTATATACTCGTAAATACATTAACTTTCTGGTCTTCCAAAATAGGAGTATAAAGGTTTTTAAAAGGTGTAAATGTAAGTGAGTTGAGAGTCCAGGAGTTGCAAGCGTTTCAAGGGTGCTTGTTTGCCAACCAAATGGAATAAAAAGGTTAGTTTTATCAATAAACCTAGCTGTAATAATTCGTGCTATTAAATGGTTGAATGGATAATACACAAAGGCTGTACGCTATGATAACATCTACGCACACATTAAGTAACAATTCTTTGTCTATCGCAATAGTTTTTGAAATTCGTAAAGTATGCATCTTTATCTGATATTTTTGATAAGATTTTTAATTTCTGGACACGTTGGTCGGATAAAAGCCGTGGCACTGATGATAAGATAGTTATTTTTAAAAATCTTTTGAAAAAGAATGAAGTATTTGGTCGTTTTGTTGTCCGTCATTGTACAGGTATGTTACACGCTTTTTTCCGTGGGAGAGATAAGGTTCGTTACAAATGGGTTAACTCGACCGGAGTGATACCACGGCCTCACAGAAAACCGGTGTTAAGTAATTGCACTGACTGCACGGATGGCGTAGTGGTTTAAGTGGTCACCATGTCGTTTACTACTGCGCTGAGTGTTGGGGGTTAGATCCCCACATGGGACAACACTTTGTGCGATCCACAAATTGTTGGGGGGACCCACAAAGGGGGGAGGGGGCAGGCCACAACCACCAGGCGTTTGCTAGTTTAGCCCCATATAGCATAAAAAAAGAGAAATAAATAATATATATTAGTTAATGAAATCGTTTCATTCGTAAAAACGACATACGAGTATATCACTCACTATGTAAGTATGTTTTTAATTTTCATTATTCGACGCGTATTTCTATATGTCATACACCTTTTCGATGACGAAAATACCTCCACATATGTAAGTTTCTGAAGTAGTAAATAGTTTTAGCCACGAGGGAACTACCAGCTGTATATGACCCTAGAAAATTTATTGTTGGACAAACATGCATATTGGTCACGTGATGGTAAGACTACTGACTCCCCTGGATACCTCCAAATAAGTGTTACAAGAAGTGGGTTGACCCTCTTAACCCCCCACCCCACCAGGTTTAATAGGAGAGCCGGTAGCCTCTCTCAGTCTGTCAAAAGCAATGAAAGAATTCCTTAACACCGGTTTTCTTGAAGCCATGGTATCATTCCGATCAAGCCGAGATAGTTTGACTAATTTTAAGAAATGTATCACGGACTATGTTAAGTCTAAACTTTGGTGATCAAAAGTTCACCTAGGTTTGGATTTGAATAGTCCATGATATGTGTTTTTAGATACTTTTATTTTTTTAATAGCTTCTTTTTTATCTAAATGTTTGTATTTTCAGTTATATTTTTTTATTATTATACCTTTATTTTTAATATTTTAGAAAAGTACAATTTTTACTTATGTTAGTTGTGATTGCCTATAAATAAATGAGCACAAGGCAACTTTTTGTATAATTTTGAATATTGTAGAAAATGTGTATTGTTTGTTGTCGATCCAGAATTAATAAAAAAAGGCAGACTGACTCTTCCACGATTAAATCATCTTTTATTTATAATTGAAATAAAATATATTATTATCTAAATTGTGCTATTATCGACTGGCCTATTGTTCTAGTGGTTCTATTCCCACCCAGGACAAAAAATTGTGTGATGAGCACGATCATTTGTTCTGTGAGTGTAGGTGTACTTAATCTATAATATTATATGTATGTATTTAGAAATATATAAATATGTTTATCAGCAGTCTGGTTACCATAGCAAAGGCACTACCTAATTCCGGACCAGACAGCCGTGTGTGAAATGCGAAACTTTTATATATATATTTTTTTTTCAGTGGACATCAGCACAAATACTAAATGGTGTACCAAACAGTAATATGGCTATTGATTCTAATAGTAGAGCATTGCTTGGGATGTTAAGGAATATTCCAGTTGCAGACAATGAATTAGCCATCAAAAATACAGATAATGCAAATATTATTAATAATGTGGCAAATTTTAATACAGCAACCAATGCAGTTACTATGGCAGAATCGAATTTAATCAATGTAAATATTGGTCCGAATATTCCAACGAATTTCAATAAACTAGAAAGTGATAAAATGGCAAACACTAATTTCATACAAGACGCTGAAGTCTTTAAACTTCTCAAAGATCCAGTTAATAAATCAACTCTTGCAAATAATATTTTGGCAAATAATGATGTAGCAGGAGGATTAAGAACACAATCGCTAAATTTGAAAATAGGCAATCCTTGTAATTGCAAAAATGGCATACAAGGTAATATAGGCAATCAAGATTTTGGCTTTCAAATTGCGCCGGATAATTTGGAGATTTTGGGTACAGTTACTGTCATTGGCAGATTGCCGCTACATAGTGTAGTGGCTATAAATGGAAATATACCAACAAATGGTCAAGGTTCCGTTAATTTTAGTTCTAGTCCACGAACAAATTCTGTATCTCTATAAGGCTCTTTAAGTTATCTGATAATTTACTTATTTTAATAAAGTTATTTATTTATTTATCTGGACATTTGTACTTGATTTACCTCAATATTTCTCATCTCTATTTGAACCCCTCTCCCTCTATATTGTTATTTTTTCCAATACTAAAAATATTTGTCAATTCGACGGACAAGTTAATCTAGTGGTTAGTGACCCTGACTGCTAAGCCGGAGGTCGAGGGTTCGATTCCCACCCAGGTCATGCAATTGTGTGATGAGCACGATGATTTGTTCTGTGTCTGGGTGTAATGAGACTCAACCGTGCCCGGAAAGCACCTGCGTCAGCCGGAAGGAAAGGGTCCCGTGCTGCCGCCCTGCCCACTCGGCGATGACCGGCTGGAGAGCCTCCACGGCGGCGAAGCCAGCGCGTGGAGTCTCCAGCCGGAACGACTATCTGACCATGGTGGCTCGGCGAGCGGCTTCGCGCCACTCGCGCACGTCTTCGGGCGGAGGGCGAAATCCGCTTTCCGCCCGGAAGTCAGCCACTCGCCGATAAACTTCGGCGAGCACTTCCGCCTCCAAATCCCACGGGGGTGTTCCGGCCAAGGCGCAAGCCGCCTCGGTGGACACCGTGCGGTATCCGCGTATGGCTCTGACCGCCAATATCCTCTTTGGGCGCCAGAGGCGCGCCCTATTCGGGGCGGTCAGAGCCGCCACCCACACCGGTGCACCATAAAGCGCCATGGACCGGACAACCCCCGCGTACAGCCGCCTTGTGGGAACACTGGCCCCGCCCAAATTGGGCAAAAGTCGCCCTAGGGTGGAGGCAGTGTCCACCAGCTTCGGACCAAGCTGTCGGAAGTGCTCGTCGAAGAGCCACCTACCGTCTAGGACCAGACCCAGGTACCTCATCTGGGCCCGGACCGGTACGAGGACCGAGCCGACCTCGATTGAGGCGCCGGCGGGCGGACCACGATGGGGCCCATGAAATAATAGGGCCTCCGTCTTATCCAGGGCCACCCTTAATCCCAACGCCTCAATGCGCCCGACCACCTGGGAAACTCCCGTGGCGGCCAGGCGCGCCGCCTCCTGGAAGTTAATTGAAACAAACCCTAAACCAACCCGTCTGGCCAGCGTGGTATAATAGGCCCAAACCATCTTGCTGAGGAGAGGCCTATGTCCAGGAGTTGATTATTGAATGATGTTAATTATGATAATGGTATAGAGCTGGACGATTCGGCCTCTGTCAGATGCGATAATTTTTATTGAGTGGACTACACGGTATCCACGCGATGCAAATGTAAATGTGGATTCTATTGACTGGACAACAACATTGAAATTATAATATCACACATACAATATGCGTTCGTTGAGAAGACTTCATAGATTTTTTTCTAATTTGAAGCTTTTTTACCAGGTTAATAAATTCGTCGAAATTAATCCGGCCTAATACATACATCCAAAATAATTGACAGCACTTTTTAAACTCTTACAGGAATTATTTGCTGAAGTTAAAGACTGATAAACATTAAAGTAGTACTAATAATACCGTTCATTATGGAGTTAGACCCTTTTTGAAATTAGCAATATTTCACATCACATCACACATCAACAGCCTGTAATAGTCCACTGCTGGACATAGGCCTCTCTCTATTAGCAATATTTATATAAGCAAATTACCTAAGGAGACACGATATGATCCTATCTATCAGCATTCATAGGTTTCTTTGTAGTCGTTTAAACTTCATGTTTTTTTTAACCCTTCTTAAGCCACAAGCAGTGTAAGTACAAAAATTAAATAAGAAATTATATTTTTTAAACATTTGGGGTCGAGACGTTGGGATTATTAGAACTAGCTTAGAAACTAATCGGTACTTCTCGTGACCAGATGGCCGGGCCGTTTTTTAGCATAGAAAATTCGGTTTAAAGATCTTTATTTCTTATAAAAAACTGCAGTTTACTCAAAATAAGAAATTAAATACATGCATTGTTAATCAGTATCCGTCTACCAGTTTATACAAAGCGGGCCGTAATTGTCATTCCAAACAGAATCACTATGCAAATACACACTATTAATAATAGACAATAATTCATATAGATAAAGTAATTCATTAATAAAGTCAGGAATCGACACAATAACCCGTAATTAAATTAATTACTCAGTCGATTAAACACAATTTATAAACAAAGTTTTATTACATTTTATATAATATCAAGTCGGTGGTTTATTAAACATTTGTGCAATACTGCCGGTCTTCTAGGAAAACTACTAGTAGACGACGATGCTGACGATTTTTTTGACGCTTACCCCTTTTTACACGCTTCTTCACTTGTATGTTTGTTTGTATGTTTGTAACCGACTTCTTTAGGCGTAATTTTGACTGACTTTTTAACGGTCAGAATTCGTTCAAACTTTGTAGATATATATTTATTTATAACTTTTTGCACAAGTTCATGCATCGGCGGACTTAATGCCTAAGGCATTCTCTGCCATTCGACCGATTGGGCGGTGCTGAGAAAGAATGAGGTAGTTGCATTAATGGTAGGGTAATAAACGATAGAGGCCTTGTTAAATACCAACTATCTTGGAATTTGGTGTATACGTCGTAATACCACACACATACACATATATATACATATATACATACACATACACATATGTATATAAGTATAAAAAAAAATAGCCGATGAACTAGGAGCTCGTTGAATCTGCCATTTCGCTCAGCAATAGCTCTTTCACTTTCGTCTTAAAAGAGTACCGATTTCTAGCCATCCTGACTTCGTGAGGAAGCGCATTCCATAAGAGGACAGCCTGGACGAAGAACGAAGAGCCGACAAACCCAGTGGTGTGAGAAAGACAGAGTAGAAGAAGATTGTTGGCCGAACGAAGGTTTCTGTTGTAGTTGTTGCATAACAATTGAAATTGTGTTGTTAAATAAGTAGGAGGGGAAGGGGAATTGAGGATAGTGTACATAATTGTGAGAGCGCGCATTTTCCTGCGTTGACGAATAGGTAACCATCTTAGCTGGGAACGAAAACCGGAGATATGGTCATACTTACGAAGATTAAAGATGAATCGAATGTAGTTATTGATGAGACGATCTAGCTTGTTGAGAAGATCTGCATTCAGGTCATAATAGCACACGTCACCGTAGTCGATTAAAGGGAAGATAAGAGATTGCACGAGCGCTGTCTTAGTTTTCACGGGAAGAAAATTTTCCAGGCGATATAATGTTCTAAGAATGCCGGTAACTCTCTGGCATATGTATGTGACTTGATCGCGCCAGTTCAGGGTGCAGTCGAGTTGTAAGCCTAGGTCTTTCACCGATCGACAAACAGGTATAGTGATACCATTAGAAAAGAGATATCGAGGACCGATGACAAAACACTAATTTAAAATAATAATAATAATAATTTACAAATGCATGTTAATAATAATTTGATACGCCATCATATATTGTAGTGAGGAAAACCACGGAGATGATAAATAAAATACGTAATTCAAAACTTACATTTATTTCAATATATACTATTACTAATTCAGAAGGCGTATTACTTTCAATTACAATTTCATTAAAACTATGACTTTGTTATTCAAAATAACGTAACAATCAATAAACCAACTGGTTTCCACCACAACCACAACCGTTTGCAACACTTACTAAACCACCCGCTGGCACAACCCCCTCAAATGTAACATAACCAATAACGGGAACATTCCCTGTTACAGCTGTATTGCCACCTACAGGCAACTCTCCAAGAACGGATACATCTCCATATCCCGCTGATCCTCCAATTGGTGCTCCTGCAAAATTCATGCCAGCAAGAGCAGCATTATTTGCAGCAATATTACTTGCAGCTAAACCATTTAATCCCATATTGTTGGCAGCAATATTATTAGATACTAAGTTTCCAGGGAAATGTGCCAGATTTGTGCCGAAATTACCAGCAAAATTGTTGGCTCCAAAGTTGTTGAGCCCCAAATTGTTAGCTGCTAAATTGTTGGCGCCGAAATTTGCTAAACCATTGCCAGGAAAGTTGGCAAACCCTAGGCCAGCATTACCTAAGCCGTTAGCGAGTCCAAAACCATTGCCGGCTAATCCGTTTCCAACTCCAAGACCGTTTCCAAGTCCATTGAGTCCTAATCCATTACCAAACCCAATCGCTTGGCCAATAGAATTCTGTAATAAAACAATGTTATGTTTATATTTGTATATATTTCAATCTTCTCTAAGGAGATCTCTAAGGAGATATCTCTTCTCTAAGGAGAATCGGAAACCTGTCCGCTGGCAAGCGCTCATGGAGATTGGAAATAGTTTTGCCCTCTCCGCTTTACAATAGATACTTGCGGTGAACATTAAAATTTTCAAAAAAAAAATTAACAAATCCTAAGTTTGGTACAGTAGCAGTGTCTTAAATGCACATTTTTTTTTAAATTTTGTTGAGCAAGATATTAAAAATAAATACATACCTGAATAAATGAAACTAAAACGATAGAAGTGAATAGCCTGAACGACATCTTTGTAACAATAAAACTAATTAGAATGAAAATAAAAATGATATCCAAAGACTATATACTTAATAAATTGATAAATATTACTTAATTATTTCATCAGTAATTAAGATAATAATGGACATACGATTTCATAAGAGAGGTTGTTTAAAATTCTCAAAAATCACGATCTCCGATAACTGTGTTATCTTTACAGAGCAATGATTACAATTTTCTTTAGGCTTAACAAAGAAATAACACGTATTGTGTTAAACACCTATCACACAAGTTGTTTTTAAAGATAGAGAAAGCAACACACGTTAATAAGAATATAGAAGAAGGTAATTTCACAGAATGACCTGTTAGTCTAGTAGCTAGTGATTGCTAGTGGTCAATTCCTACCCAGGATCCATAAATGATTGGACAGGATCCATATGATTAGCTCGGTCATTTATTACGTGTCCGAGTGTAATGCACTCGTATCTAAAATATATGTATATATTTAGATATATTTTAATTAAATCTTTTAATGTTTATAAGAAGTCTGGTTACTACAGAACAGGGACTGCCTAGTTAATTTTCCTTCTCTTTGCAGTGCCGTTGTCCTGCGTTGTTTGCTCCCTTAGTTGGCTCTTACGACACCCACTGGCTGAATAGGGGTGGTGACATTTCGTATTCTTAATTCGTCATCTCACGGATTCTGTTAACCTCACTCGATCATTGTGTTCTGTGCAGCCGTGGCATCAATCCGTCGATCTTGTATAGGCAGGTAGGTTTTTTTTTTTGTTGACGGGTTGGAAAATCCCTTCGGATCTCCTGCTCCTCGGGGACTCAGGAGCCAGGAGTATCTGGTGATTCCACTAAAAACCACCCCGACGGCCGGCCTTAGGTGTTCTACTCTGGGGAGGACCCGGACCATGTTATTTCAGGTCCTGCCGGTACGCCTACCGGCACTGACTGATTTATCAACGCAGAGCCTGACCCACTGGGGCTAAAAACATGAAATTTTGGCATCTGATGCTTTTTATGTTGTAAGCACCCAATACGAAAGGATTACATAACAAATTTTATCAAAATAGCCAGTTTGCAAAAAACATACAAGCAAACACACTCATAAATAAATATTGGCCATTATGATATTAGTGTGATGGGGTAGGTCACCGCACAATTTCATTCATTGAATTAGGTTTACATAGCAAAAAATCATTCTGCAACAGAAAACCCACCACTAACCATCTGTCAAGATCATCATCATCATCATCAACAGCCTTTACTAGTCCACTGCTGGACATAGGCCTCTCCTTAAAAAGGAGGTTTTGGCCTACTACACCACGCTGGCCAGACGGGTTTGGTATAGGGTTTGTGTCAAGTTTTCCTTCTCTCTGCAGTGCTGTTGTTCTGCGTAGTTTGCTCCCTTAGTCGCCTCTTACGACACCCACTTGATGAATAGAGGTGGTGACACTCTGTATTCTTAATCCGTCACCACACGGACAAGATAAACGTAAACAAACGTTCCCTCAATACCACATTTAATTGTAGTGAGGTGAGTGCCAAAACGAATTTGAAATACTAAAAAAATAAATAACAGGCAAGGACCAGTAGGACGCACTTGTGACTTTTGAGTTGCAGGTGTCCATGGGCGGCGGTAGTTGATTACCATCAGATACCACCATAAAAAAATAAGTTGTTGAGGTGCCAAATGTAAGAAATTTTTCTTTTTTAACACGAAAACGTTCAAAATGGTGACTAACTAAAATATTTGTGACGAACGGAATAAAGTTTTTCGTATTTCTGTAGTTTACCCATAATGCGGCACTATGTTTCTATATATAATCTATTTAATATGACAGGGGACTTCCGCACAGAAAAAAAAGAAAAAAGGAAAAGGCCTGCAATGGCGTTGCCATAGTTTTTCTTTTTAAATAATATCATAATAATAATATCAATATTTTTTATTTTTTTTTTATTTATTTGGGACACCTGACACACAACGCCATCTAGTTTCAAACTAAGTAGATCTTGTACTATGAAAGCTAGATTGACTGATAGAATACTTATATACTGATTTTTTTCTTGTAAATACATACCTACATATAATACATATGTTACTGTAATTTTACCTATCAGTATATACAGTATAAAATAACTAATGGATTGGAAATAAAACAAAAAGTAGTAATGTTTTATAAATAATTTACTATCATTAAATAAAACTATTGTAAAATTAACTTTTGTTTAATATTATTATTCATATTTAACGTCAACAAAAACTTTTTAAAAATCCCAAAAATATTGATTTTAAAGCTCTGGTAAATTTGCATAGGCTCTGTGGACCCAAATTTTGCCATTGTCGCATTGAATTTAACCTTTATGAGATACAAGGCATATTGGACAATTTTTTCTCTTTAATAAATCATTGGATTAGGTTTTCTGTAAAACATATATAAATAATTTAATGTTATTCGTGGGATATCCACAAGGGCGCAAAGACAGGTGATCTTATAAAGAACGCAGGTCAGTGAACTGCAGATCACTGCCAACCAGTCTTGTTGGAAGTCATTGATGGCGGCCTATGTCTAGGTGTGGACATCCTATGGCTGAGCTAATTATTTTATATATCGAGACAAATATTTTTAAATCTACATAATGTAAAAAAGTGCATATCATTTAAGAAAAATTCAGTTAAGTATAGAGCTACAGTGATACAGTACTTATCAACTTTGTTAAATATATTTTCTACTAGCTGAGACCCGCGGTGTTACGCGCGTTTGTTGTTATAACGCGGGCAACGCCGCGGGGCGAAGCTAGTCTAAAAAAGTAGCCTAAGTTACTCCTTATGTCATCAGCTATCTGCCAGTGAAAGTCCAGCCGTTCCAGAGATTACCCGGAACAAACAGACAGACATACAGACAGAGAGACAGACAGACAAAAATGGTAAAAAATGTTATTTTGGCATATGTACCGTGTAAACATACATATGAATTTAGTAGAAAGCGGTTATTTTAATATTACAAACAGACACTCCAATTTTATTTATATATGTATAAATCAATAATATTACAAATCCTTTTTTATTACTATTAATTATTGTTTAATTTTATTTTTTGAAATCTCCAGAAAGCTTTCCATTAAAATAAAAGTACTTTTAACTAACTGATTGAATTACTGATTATTACTTAAATTTAACCAATTTTTGACCGTCGTATATAAATAAAACCTTGTATCCAAGAACCTCCTATTCAATCCAAAATCCAAAGCTGGACATAGGCCTCTCCTTAGAAGAGGCCTATGTCCAGCAGTGGACTACTAAAGGCTGTTGATGTGTTGGTGTGATCAAAAATTAGTTTGAACGATATTGTAACTATGCTCTGCCATAGCTAAGAGTTGGATAGTCTAACTTTTCAGTGATTACTAGTAACTGCCGCGATAGGCGATAGGATGGGAAATTGCGATCGGGCCGCAACATTATTGATTGGGCCGATAGGTGGGCCTGCTTCCCCCGGGATAGGGCCTGGCTCGGCGCGGCTTCGATCTGGAGAGGACCTCAAATAACATGGTCAGGGTCCTCCCCAGAGCTTAGACCAGCTGTCTGGGTAGTTTTTAGTGGAAACACCACTTACTCCTAGTTCCTATGTCCCCAAGGAGCCGGAGATACGATGGGATTTTTAACCCCGTCAACAAAAAAAAGTAACTTCGAGTATGGGCTGTTATGACATGTTTTAACGATGATTAAAATATTTGTCTGATATTATACAATATTACTATATTTATTGAGGATAAAATAAAACTAATCATATACTTATTTTTCATTTATCTATTAATCGAAAACATAATAAATTCACAAACAAAACTCAACATTCACAATGAAAAAAAATCTTAAACTAATACATAGCTCCATAACCAGGCAGGCCATTAAAACCGAAGCCCCCTGCTAGACCTGGACCAGCGAAACCAGGTGCTCCCATACTGGGCCCGTAACCGAATCTGTTGGGTGCTACAGCAGCTGCTGGTGCCACAGGAGGAGCAATACCCTCGCTCAGAATACCAACAACGCCATTACCACAGCCGTAATTGATACCACCGGCTCCAGCAGTAGGCAAAGCTCCTTCTAAAGCTACAGCTCCTAAGAAAGGTAACTCTCCTATCACGGACAAAGGACCTTCGATTGCGTTTTCAGACACTACTGTAATGCCAGTAGGAGTGATTGGAGAGATACTGGTTACCGCGAAACCGCCACCGCTGGTAGGAGCTACGTTGGGTGCGAATCCAGGGACTCCGTAGCCACCGAAAGGAGCGGCACCATAGGCTAGATTGTTAGTTGGAAATCCAGAGTTATACGGAAAGCCAGCCCCTAAAGCGAGTTCTTCAGCTGTTAAAGCACTGCCGATGCACTGCGCTGTGATACTCTGGAAGAAACAAAGATCTTTTTTTAAAATTACAATTCTCCTACGAATAAACTTTGGGAACAGTATTTAAAGCATCAAGGATGTACGTAGACAAACAAAAAATAATAATAACTTCACACATGTCCTGCAATCAGTGCCGTCTGATCTAAAACTGGCCAGAACCTGTACAATGGTAACTAGATTTCCGATGAAAATACTTATATATTTCTAATTACACACATATTATAGATAAATTACACCCAAACACAGAACAATGATTATATTATTATTTTTCCTGGGTGGGAATCGAATACACGACTTCCGGCTTAGCAGTCAGGGTCACTAACCACTGGACTAATAGGCCAAATGACAGAGAAGAGTTAGTACCATAAGTAATAAACTGTACAGTAAACTATACCAAACTATTATAGCTTACTGTACAGTACTGTACTGAAAATACCAACTAAATACATCAGAAATACTGATTTTTTAACTTTCCATCATACAAGAACAGGAATCAGAATTGACGTAGTGGTTTAGTTGAACTTAATTTTACTTTAAATTAATTTAAACTTGGAACTTAATTTAAAGGATCAACAAGATTTAGATGGAAAGCTTTGAAATTAAAAACAAATCGGCTTGTACCTGCATGAAGACAGCTGACGCGCAGAATACAAGGATAATTTTGGATGCCATTTTCTGTTATTGACAATTGTACCTGAAGATCACAGAAGCGAATGATGTCTTCGATCAGCTGTATTAAGTTTTTATACTAATATATTTCATACAAATTTATTTGTTAATTCACTTTTGTTACTATGACATAATAATCTTGTTAATTTCAAGTCATATGCAAGTTCGTAACCCAAAGATAACCGATTCCAGGAGTTAGGTTATTTCAGTTCTGAAGCTCACGTACATGTTAGCACATTTATAGAAACCTATGCGAAGACACGCATTTTATCTCTTGATATTTTTATCAAGCACTTTCCATACGCACAATATATTTAATAGTATTATTACGTCAGTACTGTAATGCCTTAGGTAAATGTTACTGGAAGAAGAGAGTTAGTGTTTCAATAAGGCGAAATTGCAGAGTATCTACATTATTTTCTTTCGCTAACGTAAATTGCCACCGACCTTATGTGCCATAATTATCATCAGCATCATTTTCCTGTCTTTATGACCAGTCTTTATGGCCGTCTGCCTGAAGAAAGAAAGGAAAGAAAGATTACTTTTTACAATTTGGTAACTTTGAAGAATGTTATTATTTTTATAAGTGATGCGGGAAGGAAATAAACAGGGAAAGTAAAACGGATGGAGCTAGGGTATTGGATGCCATAATCCTCGGCAGCGGAGATGGAACTAAGACTGCAGTGGCTTGAAGAGTCCAGTTCGTGCAAACGTATATGCATTTGATGATTCATTAAACTCGTAAGTGAGTATCAGTATGTGGGTGAGTCATTGATGCAATTATGTAATTCTGACTAGTAAATAGTTCTTAAACTGTAGTGGTTCTAATTAAATATAACCTAATTATATCCGTGTGGTGACGGATTAAGAATACGGAGTGTCACTACTTCTATTCATCACGCGGGTGTCGTTAGAGCCGACTAAGGCAGCAAACTACGCAGGACAACAGCACTGCAAAGAGAAGGAGAACTTAACACAAACTTTATACCAATCCGTCTGGCCAGCGTGGTATAGTAGGCCAAAACCTCCTTTCTAAAGAGAAGCCTATGTCCAGCAGTGGACTATTAAAGGCTTTTGATAATGATGATGATTACTATATAACGGATCTCATATCGGATTGAAATTCATTTGCAGCCATACTGTGTTGGGCATGGCTCTCCCATTATATTAGATAGCATAGTCTTTAAGTTCTAACAGAAACACTCAATCATCATTAACGTCATCATTTTCCTACCCTTTTCCCAATTTTGTTTGAATTTCATGCAACAGGTATTTAAAAAAATGAGATATAGAAATAGGAAGCTATAGAAACGTTTAAAATGTGTAGAAGGACGTCTGTGTATCACTTGAGGATATGCAACGTGATTCACACACTGCTAGTATTCCTGTGGTTGTTATTATCTTTGCTGAGAGAATTTTTCACAGACTCTCTTTTTTTTTAAAGACAACTTCCGCAGTAGGGATATATCCTGTGTGTGTAAACGGACACAAAAAACACCCAGACTATAAAACAACAATTTGTGGATCACGCAAAGTGTCGTCCCATGTGAGGTATGAACCAACAAAGAAACAAGTAGGAAGCGGCGTGGTGACTGCTTAAACCACTACGCCATCCGTGCAGTCAACTCTCAACAACAAAAATCTCTGTTACATACTAACGATTAACATATTTCAAGATATAAGCTTTTCAGCGTTTCGGATGTTAAAGTGAACTGTTTCAGTGAATAGTGAAATCTTCCATATCTATTGATAGTTATAAATGTGAAAATAACACCTAACAAACCTAACGTGTCACATTGTACTGCTACCTATAACTGAATAATAATAATACCCTATATTACCCTCACACACGTCACACACGGTTGTCTGATCCCAAACTACGGAGAGCCTGTGCTATGGTAACCATAATGCTGATAAACATACTTATATATTTCTAAATACATACATATTATAGATGAATTACACCCAGACACAGAACAAATGATCTTGCAAATATTTGTCGTGGAATCGAACCCACGACCTCCGGCTTCAGGGTCACTAACCACTAGACCAACAGAATACTTACTAGAATGTATATATAATGACGACCGAATGGCGTAGTGGTTTGTGTAACGGACTGCTATTCCAAAGGTCGCGGGTTCGATTCCCGCTCAAGTCAAGCATTTGTGTGCATGAACATTTAATGTTTGATCGGATCGGATCGGAACAGTGATTCGTATCGCGTCAGTAATTCACTGGAATCTGTTGACAGCCCCGGGATGTAGGAAGTCCTGCAGCCCCTTGGGATGTGTCTTCGGGAATAAGTTGACACGATCTCGACAAACTGGTCGTAGTTGTGCGGGGTTGGTGGGACATTCAACAGGGCGTCATCGATCGACTGCGTAAACGACTCCCAATCAGCCTTGGCATAGTTGAATCGGCGCTTGAAGGGGACATTTATAGATCGGACCACGGATTCGATGCAGCACATAATTGGTCTATGTTGAGTGCGAGGAATAGGTGAACACACTCTTTTAGTGCACTGTGAGCTGATAGAAGAGCTAGCGAAGATTAAATCAGGATTGTACCCGCGTTTCCAGCGACCACTGTTGAAAGAGGCCGGTTGTTTGGCGTCATGGATTAGTGCCAAATCATTCGACTCAGCCCATTCTTCGACTGCATCTCCACTCATATCCGTGTCGTTGTAACCCCAGTTGGTGCTGCGGCTGTTGAAGTCACCGATTACAACTTTAATTGGCTGGCTACTAAAGTTCTCTGGCGGAGTGAAGTTAAATGTGGTGCCGGGTGGTTTATAAATGGAAGTGATGGAGCAATTACCAACATCTACTGTGATAATTTCTATGCCGTACTCGTTTGAGCATTTGGTGGAAAGTATGCTTACGCCTGGAGCAGCAAACACTGCGTTACCGTGCTTTGGGTGACAGATCTCGGCGATAAGCGTGAGTCCATCGATGTGTGGCCGGCTTTGGGTTTCATCTCGATGGGTCTCCTGAACGCAAAGAATGTCGCAGCCAGTTTTGCGGCATAAATTGGAAAGAATTTCCGATTTATCTTGAGAGAACCCTTCGATGTTAATCGAGACTACGCACAAAGCCGGTGTTATTGGAGGACTTGGAATTGTCATCGTGGTGAAAGAAACTAACTAATTAACTAATTAACTTTAAGAGTCGGGTGAATTCGCGTGCCCCGTGTGGGGTCGTTCAGCCCATGCAAAGTTAGTGGATACAGCACTGAATGAAACGTGCCGGATAATCACTGGCTGCCTCAAGCCGACCCCGGTACAGATGCTGTATCCACTGGCAGGCATAGCGCCTCCAGCAGTTCGCAGAGCGGTGGCGAGCTCTAGTGAAAGAGCCAAAATGGTCTCCGACGCTAGACACCCTCTACACAATAACATCATAGTACCGCAAAGGCTGAAAAGCCGCAACAGCTTTTTAAAGTGTGTACCCCCGCTCACTGGTGAACGCTCTAAGGAAAGACTTAAGTTGTGGCAAGATAGCGTTTCCTTACCCAACCCATTTGTGCCACTTGCCGAAAATCTTCCACCTGGACACGAGTTGCCATGGCTGACCTGGAAGTCTCTAAACAGACTCCGGACACAGGTAGGCCGAAGCAAAGAAAACCTGTTCAGGTGGAGATTCATAGATGACTCTGCCCTGGAGTGTAAATGTGGTCTTGCCCCACAAACTATGGGGCACTTGATATCGTGTCCAGCCTGTCCTGTTACTTGCACATCACAGGAACTGATGGAGGCTACTGAAAGTGCCGAACTCGTCGCCAAATTTTGGGCCGACTCAATTTGAATTGTCATCGACACGCTAAGAAGAAGAAGAGATGTTTGATTTGGTCTGGGTGTTTCTATGTATAATATGTATGTGTGGCGACTCCCACATACAAAGAAACAGAAACATACTACAGCGCCATCTAATGAAGACACACCGAACTACGGAGTAACTACTAAAATAAGAATTGCTAATCCTGTATCACGATATAAAGAATTCCCTCGCCGATTAGCATATATACAACTTCCCAACATCAACCGTTGGGCCGCGGCCCACCAGGCATGATCACCTCGCCTGGCCGGAGGATCCTCCCTTTGTGTTGGAGGGACATGACACCCGTTCCTCCACATATGTATTTACAAAAAAAAAAGTATATATGTATTTATATCAGTTATCTAGTACCCATAGTACAAGCTCTGCTTAGTTTGGGACTAGATGGCGTTGTGTGAATGTTTTAGAATATATATTTTATAATATAATTACATTATAATAATGATTCTAACCGTGTGGTGACGGATTTAGAAAACGGAGTTTCCACTCCTATTCATCCCGTGGGTGTCATAAGAGCCGGCTAAGAGAGCAAACTGCGCAGGATTACTTACAGCACTGCAAAGAGAAGGTAAACTTGACGCCGGTCTGGCGATCGTGGTATAATAGGCTAAAACCTCCTTTCTAAGGGGAGGGCTATGTCCAACAGTCGACTATTAAAGGCTGTTGATGATCACATTTATTCATTAAAAGAAAAAAACATTTTGTGCTTTTCTTTCTAGCTTCTGTAGTTACCATTTGGTCCAACAAAGGGACGGCAGTTCCCGGCAAAAATAGCTGAATGTGCTTATGGTATGGTTAATTGATATTTTTAATTTAATATCATTAGATCCGACACTGAGCTATATAATTCTAAATAGTATACATTATACTTTGAAATACCAAAAAAAAACCACGCTTTTCTACTAGCCGACCTAAAAAGTAAAAAAACATTTTATTATAAAAATGATCGAGGTACTAGATGTCAATTGTTGTAATGTTGTAAATATTTTATTTACTGGTATTGGTAAAATTAAAGTAATTTTATTAAAAATATATAATAATATATAAATTATTTTTCTTTGTATCTACCAAGCTAAAAAACCTCTCAAGAAAACGTTCGACTGCGTTATTTACTAAGGCAGTAAATTACATAGCAGACTGTATGAAAAATATTGTGAAAAACTTTTATTATTCTAATATAGATCTGATGTCACATGTGTAAGATTTTATTCTAAACTAGCTGACCCGCGCAACTTCGTCTGCGTCTCTCAATAGTAATAAATTTTCTCCGTTTTTGAAACATTCTTCATTGGTGCTCCGCTCCTATTGGTCTTAGCGTGATGATATATAGCCTATAGCCTTCCTCGATAAATGGGCTATCTAACACTGAAAGAATTTTTCAAATTGGACCAGTAGTTTCTGAGATTAGCGCGTTCAAACAAACAAACAAACATACAAACAAACTTCAGCTATATAATATTAGTATAGATTTTTTGTGGCCGTCATTTTCATTACTTAGCTGTGTTTTTAATAATTGAAATCATTTTTTAGGAGGTAACACCAGTTACTGAGGAGTAACTGATGATAAATCCTATATGGATTAGATATTATAAGAAAGGTACCTGGGATAGACTAGATGCGAAAGGGATAGACTGGGTGCTCACCCAATGTAGCACCCAGTCCTAAGCTAAGCAGTGAACTGATATAGTCCAATGGAAAGATTGATAATTAACTGATTCAGCGGTTTTTCTATTCCAATCGGATTATACGGTGTTCCAATCGGTATAGGTAAAGGGTCAGATAAAAATTGTCAAATCAAGTAAAACCAAGTTTATTGCTACAACAAAATAACAAAACATACTCTAAACTAATATACAGCTCCTAAACCACCCAGACCGTTGAATGATCTTCCAGCCATTCCAGGGTATCCCATACCAGGACCGAATCCAGCCGCTCCATAGTTGTGACCAGCAGGGTATGCTGCAGGGGCCGCAGTTGGGGCCAATCCCTCACTTACGATTCCTACGGCCCCATTACCACAGCCGTAGTTGATAGCTCCTGCACCAGCTGTCGGTAAAGCTCCTTCTAAAGCTATGGCTCCAAGGAAAGGTAGTTGACCAGTGATAGATAGAGGGCCTTCGATAGCATTTTCTGAAACTACACTGATGCCTGTTGGTGATATTGGTGACATACTGGTGACTGCAAATCCACCGCCGCTTGTAGCAGCACTATTAAATCCGTAGCCTGGTGCAGCTCCGAAAGGTGCAGCCCCATAGCCGACTGGACCTGCCCCAAAGGCCCCAAAACCTGCTCCGTACGGGAGGGCATTGCCGCTTAGTGCAAGTTCGTCAGCTGTCATTACATTGCCGGCGCCTATACATTGAGCTGAAATGATCTGTCAAGAAGCAAAAAAGTGAATTAATAAGATGTCAGAAAAATATGTGGTGAGTGTGTGTGAGTTTACAAATGTCTGGATATAGTTTCAATAAGTTATGAGATATCCCATTTCCCGTGACGAATGTAAATAATGCAGATTAATAATAATACTATTTCGGACAACTAACACACAACGCCATCTAGTTTCAAACTAAGCAAAGTTTGTATTACTACTTAATTAACTGATAGAATACTTATATCCTTTTTTTTTGTAAATACATACATATTATACATAGAAAACATCCAAAACAAATATTTGCAGATCATACAAACATTTGATCCGACCGGGAATCGAACATGAGACCTCAGCACAGCAGTCGCATACGCTACCACTGCCCGCCGAGGCAGTCAATAGTATTTTAAATATATTTTTTTCCTTGTTTAACATAAAATTACCTTAAACAAGCAGGCAGCAGCACACAAAACCAGGAGTGATTTCGCCATATTGTTATTTTGTTTAATTGTTTGTAAGTCTTCGAACGCGGTGAATGGAATGGATTTCAATTGTCTAAACTAAGATATTTATATGAATTATTTCTTCATCTTGTAATAGATAAGTGAGATGCCGCAAGAAGCACGCGATTGTAATTTCAAGTTTAGATAAGAAATTCATAATATGTTACACTAATAAACCTTTTACTATCTTTTAAACGCGTGAGCTTTTCAAGATTAATAATAATTCCATATCTTGGTTGTATTACATAACACTACTTCGAAGATGATTTAATTATATAGATCTCAAAAGATCGGAGTCCGAATGTCCGCAAAGTCCCCCGCGACACAAGATGTATTCCTAATGCGGGAGTTATTAAAAAAAAAAATACAAAGGCTTTACAAACATACATGAAACGGACACAAAGAACACCCAGACTCAGAACAACAATTTGTGGGTCGCACAAAGTGTCGTCCCATGTCGGGATTGGACCCACAACAATCACTACGCCATCCGTGCATTCAGTCAACGACAATACCAAAACCCGTTAAAATATTTAACGGGTTTTGGTATTGTCGTTGACTTATGAATTATGAAATAGTACCAATCACAAAAAAAGTTAACACCAAATTCTTAGGATTATTTTAGATAAAAAGCTAACATGGAAACAGCACATAGAGAAATTATTTAAGAAAGTGAAATGCTTTCTAAGTATGCGAATCATGAAACCGTACTTGTAGCCGCATCATATATTTCCGTTGTATCATAGCTACGAAGTATCCATCTTAAGGTACGGAATAGTATTCTGGGGAAACTCTACTGATAAAAATGTAGTTTTTTTTAAGCACAAAAGAATTGTATACGTGCAATATATAGTTTAAGTCCGAGGGATAATTGTCAGCCATATTTCCAAAATCGATCTAAGTGGCGTGCAATGGGAGAGGCCTATGTCCAGCAGTGGACTGCGATAGGCATGATGATTATGATGATTTCCAACAATTTAATTTACTTACGTTCCCTTGTCTATATATATTTGAGGTAGCAGTATTTCTCAAAAATAATACATATTTATTGAGTAAAAATGAACAAGCAGATGTTAGATTAAGAAAAGGAGATTCAAATATTTTCGGTAAAGGTCTTAGTGGCACAGCACTTTTCAGAAAAATAATAATTTAAAAGGCTCCAATAATATATATTGAAATTCCCTAATATACTCGTATTAAAGATTTGGAATTAAATAGTTTTTAAAAAGAAGTTAATCTTAAAAAAAGCTTTTATTCTACAACTGAGTTTATTGATTATAAGTCTGATTAATTTATTGTGTTAATTTTGGTGTAGTTGTGTGTAATTTTAGGTGTACAATGTAAAGTTTTGTGTTATTAAATTTTAATTAGGATTTAACTATAATTAAAATTTGTATACCCATGGGTACAATGTAGCGACCTATTTTAACTAAAAAAATATTTCTATTTCTAAACCCATCTGGCCAGAGTGGTTTAATAGGCCAAAACCTCCTTTCTAAGGAGAGGCCTATGTTCAGCAGTGGACTATTATAGGCTGTTGCTGATGATTATTGTCCGTGTGGTGACGGAATAAGAATACGTAATGTCACCACCCCTATTCATCCCGTGGGTGTCTTAAGAGCCGACTAAGGGACCAAACTACGCAGGACAACAGCACTGCAAAGAGAAGGAAAACTTGAAACAAACCCTATACCAACCCGTCTGGCCAGCGTGGTATAGTAGGCCAAAACCTCCTTTCTAAGGAGAGGCCTATGTCCAGCAGTGGACTGTTATAGGCTATTGATGATGATGATGATGATGATGATTATTGATGAAACAATAAGTCTTTAAAGTTACGTAAAATCGTCAGTGATGTTATCTTATTTCATTAATGTCGGAGATGTGAATAAATAAAATATATTTAACACATAGTTATCGTTATCTTGAGTAAAAAAAGATTATTATACAATTGATTTAACGATAAGGTTTCCGATAATTGTTTTCAAAATGTTTGATATATATAATAGGCCTATTGATTTTTAAATGTTCATTCTGTCACTTTCTTCTGAAGTTAACAATACTTTTATTAATTTATTTTTTTAATTTTAATAATTATGAAAATGTTTGGTTTTGCTTTATTTTATGTTCAAATCCTCTTTGTACAGGTGAATATAATATAATAATAATAATCTTATTATATATTTAAACTCCAAATAATATAATAATATAATCTCTTTTTTATAAACGCTTACGCCCATATACCTAAGGGATAGACAGAGGAATATAACAATGCCAACAGTTTTTAGAATCGAACCAACGTCTCTCGGTTTCGCAGTAAGGGTGACCACTATCCCTAAGTCCTGTCAACTATTTATACCTTAAGCTGACAATTTCAATTCATTTCAGACCGCCTCGATTGTGCAGTGTTAGCGTATGCGACTGCTGTGCTAAGGTCTCGGGTTCGATTCTCGGGTCGGATCAAATGTTTGTATTATTTGCAAATATTTGTTTCGAAGTTTGGGCATTTTCTATGTATTCTATTAGTCAATCTAGCTTTCATAATACAAGTTTAGTTTGAAACTACATGACATTGTGTGTCAGTTGTCCAAAAATATTAAAAAAATAATTAAAATATATTTTTCTTTTTCAGTACGCCTTGAGCCAAACTATCTCCGCCCCCTCAAATATTAACAATGGGATTCCTAATTCATACGGACCAGTAGGACTAGGCACTGCATCATTAGCTGCGGCTAACATGGGGTCAGGATTAGCAGGACAAATGATGGCTAATGGAATACCTGCAGCAGCATTTGGTCCAATGGGACCTCAAGCTCTTGGTATACCACAAAATCAAATGGGTATAGCACAAAATCAAATGGGTATACCACAAAATCAAATGGGTATAGCACAAAATCAAATGGGTATAGCACAAAATCAAATGGGTATAGCGCAAAATCAAATGGGTATAGCACAAAATCAAATGGGTGTACCTGCTGCTGTGGCAGCTAATAACTTCGGAGTTGGATACATTGGCAGTTATGGAGGAAGTGGTAGTGGCGATGTTGCTGTTGCTGGGGAATTACCAGTTGCTGGAACCACTGCTATTACAGGACAAGTGCCAATGAGTGGTAAAGTCCAATTTACTGGAACTCTGCCAGCTGGTGGTATTGTAACCATATCTGGTCAGTGTGGTTGTGGGATGAATAATGGACAAATCAATGCACCATTTGGTGCGAAACCTGTGTATAATAACAAGCCTTATTTATATTAATTAATCATTAATTATTGTTATTAAATTATTATTTTCCATTTTAGTATTTTATTTATTTTAGAGGAGGAGAGGCCTATGGCTAGCAGTAGACTATTAATGGTGTGGTTAAAGTACGTGTAGTGATCCTCATATGTTAAGGTATTACGTCATACGTTTGTTTATTGCTAAGAGACCGGGGATGTATATACCATCCCCTGCCAACTTTGACTGTCTTAGGATCAATAGGCAGTACCTAAAGAAGTAGGCGAGCCTAATTCTACAGTTCAGGTTAACGAGCAATCCTATTTTTTATTTTTATTTTGATCGGAAATTGTTTTTATTGATTATAATTTACTAGCTGACCCGGGCAGTTATTTGCGTCTCTGATGAGGAATTAGTTTTCTCGTTTTTTTTTAAATATTTTTTTTAATGCTCTCCTCCTATTGGTCATAGTGTGATATTATATAGTCTACAGCCTTCCTTGATAAATAGGCTATCTAAAGCTTAAAGAATTTTTAAATTCGAAGCTGTACTTTCTGAGATTAGCGCGTTTAACAAAGAAACTCTTTAGTTTTATGATATTAGTACAGATATTTTGCATTTTAAGGAGGGTACCCCTGTATATTAGTAATAGAAACCACTCATAAGGTTCTTATTTGTGATTCTAATGCTGAACCTATAACGATTACAGAAATGGTATTAATACGGAACGTTAACTTCATATATTCACTTAAATTAGCAGTTTTACTAGTGACGTTCGAAACCATACAGCTCCCTCTAGCATTGTCAATTGAAACTACATACGCAAACCTTAGCAAATTAAACAACAACACACATTTTACGTTAGATGTCGCTCTAAGAAGTGATCAATATTTTTAAAAATTGTACCTACAGTGGACTTCAGTGCAAAAAAGAATACCTATGCTTATAATAGATGGCGCTCAGAGGATTTTATATTGGACTGTAAAGCCAAGTATTTAGGGATATGCCGCGTTGACGCCTCGCCCAACTGTGTGTAGTATTAAGGCTAGTCATCATCAATCATCGTTTTCATCATTTTGTTACCCATTTATTTGTGTTTAGCTGCCTACCTGATACTTATATTCCTTGGACCGTCACCCGCCGTGCCTCGCCTGCTGTCTGCCTCCAACTTTAAATAATAACATTGTATCTTTCTGTACTACATGAGAGTAACCGCTAGCTAGAGTAACCGCTAGCCATCTATTAAGCAGAATACTTGTTTGCCCCATCACATAAACAAAACTGAACAATTATTTTTTTAAAGACTTCTCCCGCCTTTGTACTTATCCTGTGTCGCGGGGGACTTCACAAACATACATGAAACGGACACAAAGAACAACCCAGACTCAGAACAACAATTTGTGGATCACACAAAGTGTCGTCCTATATGGGGATCGAACCCACAACACTCAGCGTAGTAGGAAGCTACGTGACGACCACTTAAACCACTGCGCCATGCAGTCATATCTATAACAAAATTGCTTGGTCATCGAATTCCAAGACAGGTTGTTTATTATGTCGAGTTACAATTCACGTGCTTATATCTGCTGACTTACTTTTGCTGACTTAGTTATGCAGACTTTCAAGGTACAATAATGTAAATAATGCTATTGTTATTATATTAATGACTGGCCGGTTGGTCCAGTGGTTATTGACCCTGAGCCAATACCGAGGTCGTGAGTTCAATTCCGACAAATTATTGTGTGATGAGCACCATCATTTATTTTGTGTCTAGGAATAATTGATCAATGATATGTATGTATTTAGAAATATATAAGTAAAATAATAACATTTCGGACATTCAACACACAACGCCATCTAGTTTCAAACTAAGCAGAGCTTGTACTATGAAAGCCAGATTGACTGATAGAATACGTATATACTTTATTTGTAAATGCATAAATATTTTACGTAGAAAACACCCAAACTCCGAAACAAATATTTGCAGATCATACAAACATTTGGTCTAACCCGGGAATCGAACCCGAGACCTCAGCACAGGAGGCGCATACGCTACATTGCACCACCGAGGCAGTCAGATGGCCGAGTGCAAGTTTATTTCACATTGACTCGCTTTCGATGGCGATCGCGTTTAGCGTTGCGATTGGTGGAGATTTTAGTGCGGGCCAATCGTAGCGCCGAACGCTGTCACCGTAACGATCAAGTCGAATCGAAATAAACTCGTACTTGGTCTTCAGTATGTTAGTAGTCTGTCTGGTTACTACGTGGCTCTGTCTAGTTTGGGACCAGACTGCCGTATGTGAGATGTGTGAAGTTATCATTTTTAGATAAATATCATGGGACCATGTGATACTCAACTGGAGTGATGCCACGGCCTCACAGAAAAACTGTGTAAATCAATTCTTTTATTCCTTTTAACCTGGTAACTAAGGTTCCTGGAGATCCACCCACCAATAGTTGTTCATGAGCACACCGTAGTCACTTACTATCAGGTGACCTGGGCCTCAATTCTGCTATTTTATGTTCACGCCAAGCCAGTGTCATACCACTGACATGCTATTGAGATGCCATCGAGTATTGGCATCGGTATAAATATCGGTAGTTGAAAATAAATTACGTTTTTTGAGGAAATGATTTATTTATTTTTATTATAATAAATTATTAAAAGAAATAAATAAATTACACACACAAAGAACACCCAGACTCAAAACAAAAATTTGTACATAACACAAAAGTGCCCCATGCGAAGATCGAACTCACAACACTTAGCGCAGCGGCGAGGTGACCGCTTAAACCACTGCGCTACCCGTGTAGATTTACCGATATTATGTATAAAGCGAGTGCTGCATATTTGTGCTCTAAAGTGATTAGATCCAACAACAAGCGACATTCTAAAAGCTCGACTAATATCTGTCCTTGTTTACTAGCTAATTAAAGCCTAATTAAAGATACATTTATTATTGTGGGATAGAGACGCACGAGCAGACGGATCACCAGTTTTGGAGCAAGCTGTCGGAAGTGCTCGTCAAAGAGCCACCTCTTGTCGAGGATAGACCCAGGTACTTCATCTGGGCCAGAACCGGTACGAGGGCCGAGTTGACCACAATTGAGGCGCCAGGGGGTGGACCACGACGGAGCCCATGGAAAAAGATGGCCTCATTCTTATCCAGGGCCACCCGTAAGCCTAGCGCCTCAATGTGCCCGACAACCAGAGAGACTCCCCTGGTGGCCAGGCACGCCGCCTCTTGAAAGTTCGCCCCCCGGGCTGTAACTCGAGTGTCATCAGCGTAACAGATTACGCCTAGCCCGGGGGGAAAGCGACATCGAAGAGCCCAGTTGTACCCTATGTTCCATCGTTCCGAACGTTGCTGGCAGAGAGAACCCTCTCAAATAATTTACCCGCTGCGTCCAGCAATAGGATGGGCCTGTAGGCTACTACCGAATCGGAAGGCCGTCCCGTCTTCCTCAACAGGACCAGCTTTTCGCTCTTCCAGCACTCCGGGAAACGTTCAGACACCAAACTAGCGTCGAACAGTGTAACAGTTATTTTTTTGGTATATTAGTAAAGCGTACGGTCTTGTTAAAAGCTACATCTATTAGCCGCGTTGCATTGTTGTTGATTTATCTAAGGTAGTTTATAACTACAGTTTTGATCTTCTGTGTTCACTGATGTTAAATGTCAAAATAAAATGTTGAAGAGGGGTTATTTTCTGGAAGCTTCGTTAACCGAAGATATATAAGTCCGGCTTTCTGCCACGGGAGACACTGCTATCTCGTGCCTTCCGATCTTATATAGTGTTTTGATTGCTGTGTGATTTGATTTTCTTAATATATTATCTGTTCAAAAGTACCCACACTAAAGTGGTGAGTATGTTCTTAATTCTACTTAAACCTATTTGTTTCTGGAACCTGTTTAATTATATGAGTGCTAATCCATTCGTAGGGTCCCAGATTTCGGGGTCAAGATGGTCAGTCTTAGACGGCGTGCTTGCTCTTTTGTGGCCTTCTGGTACAGACTCAAGTTTCTCGGTACCCTCTGGCAAAGCTGGTGATTGCGCGGCTCACGACGCAAGCGGACAGCCGTACCCAAGAGTTACGTACTTAAACTTATAATTGCAGATTGTTAAACTTTTATCCGTATCTAATATAAATAGCCGACTCGGGCGGAAGAGGAAGTAACCTCCTGGAGGGACGACGAGGAGGCACCGAGCACCATCAGCTCGGCTCTAACGCGCACCGCTGCGGTTTTTTTTTTTTCTTTTTATTGTACCCACACTGTTTGATTAGTTTAATTTGATCTACTTTTTCTTTGAAATATACATGTATGTATAACTGAGGTGTAAGTTGTTTTCCTCTAAAGAGTCCCATAGGTTTCCCACACGCACACACTTCTATTCTCATACAAGGCGCCCTGAGGTAATCTCTTGAATCTCTCCACTGGGTCAGCCGGTGAGTAGTCCGCCAGAGAGGAAAAGCGGCTACAAATTGGCGACCAACGTTTGGCCAGCGATCCAAACCTCGGTGTGTGTGCTGTGTGAGGGTGCCTAAGGGTATTCACTTTGGAGGAGACACTTCCCTCCGTCCGATACTCCCCAGGACGTTAATTGGTTGTGCGGGTGCAGTACGCATGTAATAATTTTACCCTCATTGTATTTTCAGCCTATAGTACCATCATCCCTGAGGCAAGGAAAATCAGTGAGACACCTAAATTCCAAATTAACTCAAAATTCCAACTGCACATATTTCGGGTGAGTTTGAAACATTTTTTGGCCTAACTAGTTTTTTTTTTTTTCTTCTTTTTTTTTTGTGTTAGCTACTTCTGTTCGTACCTTTGAGGTCCGTAGCGTGAAGTTGTGCATACGTGTATATTCAGTGTTTTTTTTTCCCAGTACTACTGGTGTAATTTACTTGAAACTTAACTTAACTTATAAAGTTTTATGTACCCTCCATTTTTTTATATAACCTCTTGGCTTAAAATTAGAATAAAATAGTTTTGTGATATACATACCCTACTTAAAATTTATGTCGAAATAACTTTTATGATAATTAAACTTTGTCAATTCATTGGATTACTATGTCAATATTCTAAAGATAATATAACTTGTCTTAAATTTTTTTGTCGAATTAACTTTTATAATAAAAAACTTTGTCATTTCATTACTGTGTTAATGTTCTAGAGATAGTATAACTTGTGTCTTGAATTGTGAAACAAGAATATCTTTGTCTTTAGTTGAATTTGCTTCTCAAGTTTTGAGAATTACTTACTACTATTTTATTATAATATTTGTTAAAAATATTAGTGTGCTTTAACCTTCTCACACTTAATAGTGAAGAAGTATACTCAGTTTCTACTTTGAAATATTACTTGATATTTTAATATTTTATTACAATATTTGTTAAAAATATTAGTGTGCTTTAGCTTTCTCACACTTAATAGTGAAGAAGTATACTCAGTTTCTACTTTGAAATATTACTTGATATTTTAATATTTTATTATAATATTTGTTAAAAATATTAGTTTGCTTTAGCTTTCTCACACTTAATGGTGAAGAAATATACTCAGTAGCAATATTTTTTACTTTGAGATATTACTTGATGTTTTAATATTTTGTTATAATATTTTTAAATATTAATTTACTTTAACCTTCTCACACTCTGTTATTAGTGAAGAAGTCTACTCAATATCATTATTTTTTACTTTTTTTGAACTGTAAAAGACATTAAGTCTGCATTACTAGTTTGTTAACTTGTTAAGATTATTTTTTGTATAATCGAATTTAAATTGTAAACCACCATGGCACATGTTCGTAAGTGCATTAACTACCTAAAAATTGATGAACTTATTAATGAACTGTCTTCCATGGGGATTTCAGCGAATCCTGAGGATGCGGTTGTCGGATTGCGAAGTGAGATGCGTACTGCTTTGCGGCTTATCCGGCGTGGCAGCTTTAATGCCATCGCCGCTGTTCCTGCCTTTGCCGCCTCTGACATGGTCTGTCAGCGGGCTTAAGGTCTTTGAACTGGAACAGGTTTTTTC